CGTGAGTTATGAGGCTGCTAATCACTTATCCCAGAGCCCTTCCGACCGGGAGCTCAGACAGATTCTGCTAAGCAGGGCAATGCTGCTACTAAATTATTTAGCTCTGTGCTGGGGGGATGCACTAATTATTTGCTGAGTAAAAGTAACCCACGGACAGGGGGAGATGATTAATGTCGACACGTTATACTATAAAGCTGCAGGTGCTGAAGAAATAATTCTGCTTCTGTTCTTGATGTGCCAAAGGTTGTATAATTGGGGAAATGGTGTCCCACCATCCCCCCTCCATTGGGCATCACTCTGCTCTTCAGGACGTCACCACTTGGTGGGTTGGTCTGACAACTGGAGGGCTTGTTTGACAAATGCAGTAGAGAACAAGCTCCTTCAGCTTTGGGTTTTCCTGCCAGTCAAAGGAGCTGATTTTGGGAGACACTATCAGTGCCATAGGCAGATGAGGTCTATAACCTTGTGAGGCCTCCCATACCACAGCATAACTCAAGACTTGCTTCTGCCAAGGCATGTTTCCAGGCCTGTTCTCAGGGAAAGCAGCATCAGGCCTGTTATTTACCAATAAAGATAAATACTGGGTCAGATGCTGGTTTCCAGGGGTTAATTCTGTTGTTTCTGACTTGTTACTGATATTTTCTTCCCAGCTACCTCATTACACTACCACCTTATAAAAAACACTTATTTATTTATTTATTTATTTATGACTAGGCATCCATTCCTATTTGTAAAACATTTTAAATGCCTGTACAACATGACAAATTCAACTTGCATTTTACGTGCAAGGAGTGAAGCTGTGGTGTTGTCAGAGGCATCACAGATTGAAGGGAACGCAGATAATTTGTGAAGCCAGGGCTCTGATTTTGCCTAAGAAGTGATTTCCATGACAAACCACAGTGACATTGTACTAAGAAAATACCCTCTCAAAAGTCTTCGGTTTTGTCATGGAAATAGCTCTGACAAAATCATGGCCTTCATTGTTCTTCCTCTCATTCATATATGCAAAGTGGATTTTTTTTTCTCCTGTCCTACTAAATACAATGTGCAGAAAATCTAGCGAAGAACAACACAACACATGACTTCTCTAAGACAAAGTCAGGAACGACGGCCCTATTTTAAAGGCACACAGTCTGGATCCATAGGCAGAGGCTTGTGATGAAAGCTCCCCATGTGTCTAAGTTACCTAAGACTCTTACATGAGAAGGAAATCGATGAGAATTATGTTCTTAATTGCCTAAGCATTGCCATAGCATTACTGAGAATAGCATTACAATTCTCGGTAGCCAAAATATATGGATGTATATAATATATGGATGTATATAATATATGGAGTAAACTATGTGGATGACTCCTCTCCTCTGTAACACCAGTGGCAACTTTTTCAGCAACCCAGAATTGTGCCCTGCTGCCTGGTATTGCAGGATCTGGTATTTTGGAGCCACTTTGTTTCCAACCAAACCCATCAGGAAGACGTGCCCGCTGAGCAATGCCTTTGGGATGAGCCTGTCCACGTGCCCTTTCCTCTCTCTTCTGCAGCCTGATGCAGAGGGATCACAGCAGGGGAGAGAGGCAGGAGGAGGATGGGGAGAGTACCAGGGTCCATGGCAGTTTCTGTGTATACCTAATCTAAAGTCTTATTGTAGGGATTAAAACATCCAATTACGGTATTAAAAAAAAATAAATCAAAGGATTTAACAAGACAAACCAAAATTTACTGTTGTTGGCATTTAATAGGATTCACATTGCGTAGCCTAGCAGCACTTTTCCCTTTCAGTGCAGTATCCGCTTACGCTGCTCAACCAGACTTACTGCCACCAAGAGACATATAAAACTTAGTACCCAAACTGCATTTTTTCTTCTCATCCAGATATCCATATACCTGCAGCTGCTGAGAACACTGGGTTTTATTTATTTATTTTCCGTGACCTTATCTCCTCAGATCTCAGCCTGTCACCCCCAACACCAGCTTGAGGACGCAGGTGGCCTTTGTCCAGCTGAGCGCCGGGGGGCATTTCTGCCACCCACCCCTTGACCTCCTGCAGCTCCAACCTACAGCTGATGGCTGCAGACCAGGGGGCTCTGAGGAGGTGCTTCAGGTCTGTGCAGCCCCAGCCCTAGCAAGCACTCTCAGGATTTCTCTCACCGGTTTCTCCTGGGATGCCAATATTGGCTGGAGCCTCCAGAAGGTATTTGTACACCAGAAAAACAGAAAAAAAAAAAAAAAAAAAAAAAGAAGTCATCCCTGAGCCACATATGGTGATATTTTTTAATTCTAGAAACATCTATAGCAGGGCAGTAATCTCTCTCTCACTCTGACCTGAAGGCAGTGTGTCTCATCCTCCTGCAAGATGGATAAGAAGATGATAAACAGGGACGGGAAGCAGACTTTGCTCAAAGCCATTAAGCCTCTGCAGAAAGCAGGCTGGGCTATGTGGAGACTGAAGACATTAGCTGTCATTTCATATGAAAATTATATGTACTCAGTGGCTTAATAGTACTCTGGCAGGTTGCAGTGATTTACATCAAAGGAAGTCAAAACAGGCGAACAGGGAGCAAACAAGAGATGCTGGTGCCTCCAAAGAGAGCACAAGGGAGCTCGATGGCTCCAGATACTCAAGAAAGGGGGAAGACGAATGCCTTGGGGTACCCTGTGCGCACGGGGGGTTCCTCTGCACAGAGGGAAGGAGTGATGGGGAAGGATGGTCCAAGCCCAAGCTACAGCTCCCCCAGATGCCAGCTGGCCTGGGAGGGATGCTGTGGATCGCAGTCCTCTCCGGGTCCCCGGTTGTGTTGCAGGACCAGGTGATATCCCAAGGCCATCAGCTCCGGCGCCACAAACCTCTGGGTGAAATCCAGCTATATCTCTTTCAGCCTCATCAGGCGAAGCTATGGCAGAGGCATTCACATCCCCTTAAACTAATTTGTGTGGCAATCTTCAAGGCTTCTCCTGCCCTGATTATTCATGAGGTAATAATTCAGCTACCCCACAGACACTGAGTGAGCCACAGACCTTCTGAAAAGGCTTTCTATTTTATCTCAGAAGCTTTTAAAATAACCTCAGATGGACTATAGGCCCATTATTTATTTTATGATTTATGTTAGTAATTATAGAATGTGATGGAGTAATGGGAGGGGGAAAAAGCCCCCAACCCCACCAGCTGCAACAGCGGAAGATAAAAGCCCTGGTGTTTCCAAAGAGCCAGTAGAAACATGATATTTTTGATGTCGCTGTTTTTGCTAATTAGACTAGAAAGGAACTTATGTTTAATTAATGTGATTCTTTTTAAGATCATCCACAGAATTTCTATTTGTGCTAAACCTCCTCCCTGCTATGTGCTGTCGAGCTCTTGCTTCAGCAATCCCTGCTCTTTCATAAGCAGTTTACCTGTCAGGCCACAGGCAGTTGCTTATCCTCATATCCCTTCCTATTTCGGGATGGCCAGCAGCTAATTCTCCAGGCTGGGGTATTCTTGATTTGAAAGGCAAATGCCATTTCCTGGTATCAAAGCTACAAATCAGCCACCTGAATTTTCTTCTACATCATTAAAAAAAATTACAGCTGTCAAGAAGCAGAACAGCAATTCTACTGGCTGGTGACTAGCACTGCTCCTTCATTTGCAACTTTAACTCGCTTCATCTAGGAGAAACAGCTTTTAAGGAAGCAGTAAGCCCTCCCCCTCTGTCTTCAAAGCTGCTCCCAGTAATTAAGATTTCGAAAAAAAACAAACAACGATCTTTCATTTGTGGCTTAAGCCTTCTTTAATAACCATTGCGACTCTTCTTTGACCTTCTAAAACAGTTCTTGTGCATGCTTCTTCTTCCCCTCCCAAGACGAAACTCTGGCATCATTTCAGCAAAGTGTTGCAGCTAGAAGATTTTCAAACATTAGAAAAATAAGTAGGGTGACTTCCACGTACGATTTTAAGGTCCATACCTGGGGAAGGGTCAACCTAATGCTAATTAAAAATGCTAACAGTGAGGCTTTGAGACATCTGTGAAGGGAATTAGCATGTGATATGACCACTGCTGCTCAAGAGCAGCACTGGACACTGCTTGTTTTGGCTGGGGCACCAGGGCCATTAGACAATAGGACTTTTCAGTCACTGCCTGTCTTGGTAAGGGGCATTTTTCATAATGATGACCCTGTGGTGGACATCTCAACATTGGCTTAATAGTCACTTAATGTCCTAACTGATGTGGGAAAAATAAGACCTCAACCAGCTGCTATTTGGGAGCTGACCCAAGAGCTAGGGAGTTTGTTCTCATCCAGCAGTTGGATTACGGTTCCTAGAAAGCCAGCCACAAGGCAGCGGGACAGGATGCGAGGGACTTAGCGCTCGACAGAGCTAACCAGGAAGGCTTCTAGGGATCCCAGATGGTGCTCTTAAATAAACGAGCTGAAGAAAGCCTCAGCAAGGGAAATCAAGCGGGAAGAGCCACTTCAGCCGAGGGATAACAACTCAGAGCATTTCTGGGGCTCCCAGAGAAAGCGTGTGGCCAGACAGATGGTACCAGGCAAAACGGATCAGGAGGCCTCCACGCCTTGGGAGGACACAAATTCTCAGCTGCATTCGGTTCTCAATGTTAGCCACCAGTTTTATGCAGGCCCTTGGTCTTATCAGTCTCTGTGCACGATGCAGATGAGACATAAGCCTGGATTAAGACTGGGTATTTCATATTTTTGACATCATGTTTAGCTTGCTTTTTCTTATTCACACAAACAACTGAAAACAACAAGACATACCTCCTCAGAGGGACTGAAAAGGTAAGTCCTGCTCTCTGTGTGAACAAGCTGTGTTGCAGAATTCAGTGAGGAAATTAAAAAAACCTCCCATGGCCTGCTCCAGTACTTACATGGCTTTGCCATGGTTTATTTCCTATAAAGAAGCATTCTTTTTTTCCCTTATGAATACAGGCAGAGTTTGAGGGCTCCTTCCCCCAGTTACATGAGCCTGGGAAGTACCATCAGAAATAAACATCATTAAGCACTCGAGCAGTTTGTAAATACTGAGGGTTTTATTTCCACTTCACATGGTCTCCAACAGACTCTTAAACAAGACCAGTTACAAGTCAGTATGCCCAGAGTTCTCAAGGGTTTTCCCCAAAACAAAAGATTTCAGTAAACGCTGTACATAGCCAGTTGAACTGCTAACAATAATTTAAAAACTCGTTTTGTATAGTCAATGCAAGAATACCAACAATAAAAGTACAGTACAGGTAAATTCACAACAATATTACAGTGGAACAGGTTGACTCACATTTATGTGATGGTAGAAGTACAGTAGCAGTATGTACATGCACTAAAGTGCGAGGACCCAGAGGCATGCAAGTCAAGTATCGTAGGTGTATTTTACAGCTAACTCCGTAAGACTTTCTGAGGCTTTTTTTTTTTTTCTCTCTTTTTTTTTTTTTTTTTTACACTTTTACTTGTGTTTACCTGTATTCCCCTCCATCTCAGTTAACACAACTCTAGTGAACTAGCTTAATGGCTTTCTTCACTACTTAAAAGGTATTGCTTCAGACAGTTGAAGCATCTTTAAGAACCTTACGTTTAAAAACTGATAAACGCTGACATTAAAATAGAATAAAATTAACTTAAGACCCTAGTTTTACATGAAAAACAAAAACAAAACCAAAAACGACCCCCAGAACCCCAAACCGAAATCAAAAATGTAACAGTGCAAATATAACCGAAAGGCAGTCAGTATTTGGAGAGAGCGCGAGCACGTATTCAAATTCCCTTAAAACTTAATTTACAATTTATTTTAAATCTTAACTTTATATCATTTTTACCTTTTTTTTTTTTTTTTTGTTAATATACTGTGTGTAGAAAAGATGGAGACAAAAATAGTTTTCTCAGCTATGAAAAAAAAAAAAAGAAAAAATTAAGTTATTACAGGCACATTAACTGTTTCATTCCAGAAACACCTCTGTTTCACAGGTCGGACATTCAGCAGCTGCGTTTGAGAACATTCTTTGACCTCCACAACGGGACCTCCCCTTCGGGCCGCCGGGCGAAGGCCGCTCGGGGTGCCTTTGGCCCGTGGCCGTTCATGCCGGCGGGCCTCCCTGGCCCGGGGTCTCTGCTGGCGGCTCCTTGCCTCCGCTCTCCTCCGAGGAAGTCAGGTCTCCGGTTGACTGCGACTGTGAGGCAGTAGGGGAATGTGAAGCCCATCGGGACGGTGGGCGCCGGTTCGCTGGTCTCTCTGGCCGGGAGAAGCAGGGTTCGAGGGACGGGGCTAGTGCAGAACAAGGCAGTTCCTTGGCAGCCAAGAGAGCAAAACAGAGGTTAGTGACTTGTATTAGAGGCCGTCTGGCTGAGCAAAGAATTAAAAATTTAAAAAAAAATCAAGCTAAAGCTAAGCATTTGTCTCATTACAGGACAAAAGCAAGCAGTGAACGTCTTTCTGTGTGTGGGCTCCGGACACCTGCATGTATGTCCATGATTTATGGAACAGACAAGGAGAGAATGAAAGGAAGAGGTCTGGGATGAGCTGAAGCAGCTGACAAACTTCCATTTGCTAACTCTCCTTGTGCTAGAAAGAGAAGAGCTGAAAAAATACATTTGCATGATAATTCAGGGAAATCCACTATTCACTGCATTGATTTAAGTGCTGGCCAGGCATTTGCAAGAGAGGTCAAGATCAACCACTGGCTCCTTTCGTCTGCTTCAGAGTGCAGACTGACTTTCAGGAAAGACTCGTTAGCAGAAGAATAATGACTACAGCACTAGTTATGACCTTCAGCTGGATTAAAGATTCAGATTTCAGTTTTACCTCCAGATTTCAACTTCTGGAACATCACTCCTTACTTATAGTTGCTTTTGCTTGAATTACAGGAATCAGCGATAATGTGTGTTAAAGATGGCATTCACCAAAATGGAGGAAAACTGAACTTTTATTTCTCTACTGGTTTTCCACTGTTCAGGCTTGGTAGCCTGCCTGTGCTACCAGAAACCATCTGCACTTGCGATTTTTCACCCTGGCACTAGGTTGATAATTGCTTCTAGTATTTATGGACTTTGCTCATCGCACAGCTAGACTTCCTGCCTCGCTCTGTATGCTTGCTACATCAAGACAAATGACTGGGGGAGCGAGTCTGTCTTGTAGTGCCAAAGCAAAAATTCTGGATTTCTCTGCACACTTCAGAGTTTATAAAAGCAAATCAGAGGAGTTTGTCAACCTAGAGAACTGCATACACTGAGCAGTCACTGGAGAGTTAAGTAAAAACCTTTCTCAAAATCAGAACACAAGCTGGTGATAAATGGAGAGAGAGATCATAAGCGATACAATGCACAGGACAAGCTCTGGCATGGTAAACCAACGGGAAACAAAGGGAGCAGTAAAACAACACAGTAGGAAGCAACACAGTCAGTGCGGAGTTTCAGACGGAGAAAGGGAATGGGGAATATTGGGTTAGGTAACATGATATGATGGGCAGTGAACAAACACGGTGATATGCCGCCGAACGTCTCGGTTGGACTGGGATGTTACATGACAGAAAGACCAGAGCAGTGGCACTGGAAACGGAGCTTGTGCAGGCGTGTGTGCTTTGGAGAGAGCACCAGAGGTGAAGAAGCCTCCGTGAAGGGTGAGACCTCGGAGCCTTCAGGCAGTGCACAACCAGCTGGTGCTCAGCAGCTGCCCTCCACCAGGACAGAGCACCACACCAGGACAGAGCACCACCAGGGCTCATCTGCCCTCGTGGGTGGGCGCAGAAGCTGGGTGGAAGCTTTGGGGCCTACGTGTGGGCCTCTGCGCATCCTCGCCCCCACCCCGGCCCCTCGCTGTGAGCCCTCGACCCCCGAAACACAAATCGGTGCTAACGAGCAGATCGACTCCGTGTCCTCACTTCACCTGATCCCGCCGAGCCTGGGGGACATACGGGCTGTGAAAGCTGCCACTCAGATTTGTTAAGGGAAATCCATACGGACAGCAATACTTAAAGGCAGCACAGCGTGGTGAGGGGAGGCTGTGTGATTTGTGGGCTTTGCCTTAGACTCTTTCTGAGCAGTAGCTTAAAGTGGTATCTTTATAGGGCTGCTTGCTTCTGGCTGCCTCACCCTAGTTTCACAGGAGTAAATGGGAGTCAGCTGCGATAAAATTCATTTGCACTGCTAACTTCCAGTTGAAAAGAGTCTCTACAGCACTGAATCACAGAATGGTTTGGGTTGGAAGGGACCTTAAGGATCGCCTTGCTCCAGCCCCCCTGCCATGGGCAGGGACACCTCCCACCAGACCAGGCTGCCCAAAGGCCCATCCAGCCTGGCCTTGAGCACTTCCAGGGATGGGGCAGAACCACAGATGTTGGCCAACTTGTCCAGAAAGGCAGGACTAAGCTCATCCCAGTCTTATCAGTGCTTTGTTTGCCAGGGCAGAGAAGGGACCGGCAGCCCAGCCTCGTAGGCACTGTGTTGGACGCTGAGCGGGTAACCCACCTGCGGATGTCGGCTTTCTCAGAGTGTGTTAAGGAGAGCAAGCCATTAAAAGCAAACTGTCGGGAATGGTTTCTGAAATCCCAAACGTCCTCCCTTACCATATGCGGCTGCCATAGCTAGAAATGTTTGGAAAAACCGACATCCTGTGGGTAATTTACTGTGATGGCTGCCTGGGGGCTGGGTGGAGAGGCAGCACTTTTTAGCCTGGATGTGGGAAAGGAGGTTTCAGCTTTAGTCTCTAGCTGCTTCCTAGGCCAGGCTGCCAGCCGCTGTGGCTATGCCTGTATTAATAGATACACAAACCAGGCTGTTTTCTGGCTCTGAGGCTGAGTGCATGGTCACAGCTCCCTCCTTCCACTGCAGCAGTCCCAGACAGCTGGCTCTGGCCACAGTGGGGTTGGGAGCAGCTTTATGGTGAAACGTGACCATCAGCCACAGGCTGGTGCTCAAGCCCCTTCCCCAGCCCTCTCCAGCCTCTGCTATGGAGAAGGCATGAGGGAAAACAGCCTGGGGCAGCCAGAAGCCCTGCACAGTAGTGATCCAAAATATAATGCTTCTGTTACGTTTTGGGATAATTAGGTGTTCTTGAATTTTGCTTTTTTTTTAAAAAAAAGATTTAACCAAAAACCCAACCACACACATTTTGAGTTTTGTGACCTCTCTGGAGACCACGCATGCTCACAACCCGTGAGGGAACAGCTCGGGCTCCTACCCTGAGGGCTTCCTGACCATCGCATACAAAGGACTACCTGGGGATGCAAGGAGACGTGGTCGTTTTATTTCCCTTCATTAACCCACGCGTTCGAAGTGACCGCTTTCGGAAAGCTCTGGAAACAAGGTAGAAAGGACTTACAGCAGTGAGGCAGGCAGGGTTAGAGTCCCCAGGGGGCAGTTAATAAGACAGTTTGGTTCTGGACAGAACAGACAGAAAAGAGAAAGAAAGCAAGTAGGTTGGAAAGAACTGTTTTAATCTTTTTTTTTTTTTTTTTTTTTTTTTTTTAAAGTGAAGATTTCATGCCAGCAAGGAAGAAGTCTCCAGATGTTACTACCCATTCAGATCATGTTACCGCTGTGTCAGAGGGAAACTAATAATAAAAGATAAGCCACCAGCAGCAGAAGATTCAGAAAGGAAGGAAGCAAACAAACCAACCCTTCACAATCCTAGCACAGTCTCAGAAGGACATAGCATTAAACAATCCAAACATTTCTATTCAGCAGAGAAAGACATCCGTTATCCTTTGCCAACCGTGATTAAGGCTGTGGAAAAACAATGTTACTGTGAAAGAGGAAAAAAACATTTTTTTATTTTTATTTTTTTCCCCTTCGTTTGACTTCAAGAGATAATTTCTGCTTAGGAAATCTCTAACAAGAAAAAAACACACTGATATTTATGTCTCTCAGAAGCCCACCTGAAGGTTTCATGAAAACTCTTTGCCTCACCCCTCTTTCTTCTTCCTACTTAACAGTGACTCTGGAGACTCAAACCACAGCAAAAGCCCTTTACTCCTGGCATCCCCTTCCCTTCCTTGCAACATTCCCCCTCCAACCCTGAATGGTTCAGCTGCAAACGTGCGGCCACTGCTCTGCCCCAAGGAGCAGAGGACGCCGCAGCTGCCCTCTGCGCAGGTCCGTGAGGATGGTCCTCTGGCAGTGCTGTCTTCAGAAGTGGGGCTGAGCCCTCTGTCCGGGACAGTTGTGTAACCTCTGGGATTGACACCCTTGCTAGTTAGAGAAGAGCACTCACACTGCTTTTACGTTGCTAGTTAGGTAAAGTTAATCTGCATTTTTCAATGGTAATATTTGTAAATCCCATGATATGCAAGTAAGATAGTGGTTTAGTGCATCAGCAGAATAAGAGACTTCTAGGCTGCGTTGGGTGGATATGAATTTACTTGTAAGCAGCTCTGGGCAAGTTAGAAAATACAGAGTTATTACTACTATGTATGCATATACACTCACACGCACACATACATATGTACGTGAATATATAAATATATATATGAACTAGATTTCATATGGCAGCAGTAATATAAAAGTAAATTGCATAACTGAAGCATCCAGAAGCTCAAATTAAAGAAAAGCCACCAACAGGTGCTCCACACAAGTTTAAAAGTCATTAATATACCATGCTATGCCTGCAGAAAATAAAAGAAGGCGTTCCGTGGTAAGAAGGTCACTTGTCTTGGCCAGAAGCAAACAGGTGATGGGGAAGCAAGAGCAGGGATCTGCAGGAGGGTGGCAAGGGCAGTGCTGACATTGATGCTGCCCCGAGCACAGCCTTGCCTCCTGCTAGATCATCATTTGTTGTTCTGCTGTGCCTTGCTTTGTACAAAATGTGCTAAGTGCAGTTTTGGAAAATTGTAATTTGTGCGGCCAGGATAATTCATAAGTAACCTAAGGCATTTGCAGAGTCTAAATATATTTGTGGCTTTGTTTTCAACAGCGAACCCACATTTCATTAAGAACATCTTGTAGAGCTCACATAAGAAAAGCAAAGCCCATCATGCGAATGTTGCCCACCAATTTCCTTCTCAATGCACCTGTGCATCTAGACAGCAGCCTTAACAACTGGGCAAGAGCTACAGGGAAGAGCTAGTCTTAGCTCTGAGGCTTGGAACTCAAAAAATTAGGCAAAAGATGCTGAGAATTCATGAAGAGATGCAATTTTCTGCCGGGCTGATGGTCAATGAGTTTTTACTAAACAGCATTGACGTAGATCTCTCCATGCATCAAACTCAGGTACTGTCGCCAGCTCAATTTTGCCAGCAGCAATTTGTGAAGGTGTGGGATGACATCCGTTTACTCATACTTGAAATCTGCTGAGACATTTAAAAGATGCAGGAGGAAATCAAGAATTTTCAGCGGTGCCTTGAAGGCAAAGCTGAGTTGAACCCGTAAGAGTACAACACATACTTTCTAATACAGAATGGTAGTACATGCCCGGTATTGCAAACTAAGGACAAAATACAGAGATGGCTAGACAGAGTGAAACAAATGAGGCTGCCTTCCACTTTAATTCATTCTGAGGTTTGTGCACAAAGCCCACTTTCATTTACTGTTTTTTATCATGTGCATGTGGTTTCTTTTTTATATGTGCAAACTCCCTTATTTACATCTGTTTAAACAGCTTATAGGGAATATATCCTCAGCTTTGGATGCTCCGTTAGGCAAAAAATGATTGTGTCCTCTCAACAGCACCTACAAAAGAGGAACAGATCATGCCCATTGCGAACAAGCTGCTAGCGCAAGGCAAACTGCAGAACAAAAGCCTCAGTGCTCAGGTTCCCACAAATCCTTCAACACAAATGTGACGAAGGAAATGGGTTTTGTACATTCCCTTGAGGCTATGAGGCAAGAGTGGTAGGAGCAAACTGAGGCAGCATGTCTGGGGCACATGGGGGTCAAGGAGGAGCAGCTGCCTGGTGGCTGGGACCCCCTGCAACACCAGGATGCTAATGGACAGCACGGGGCTGAGGGGCTGGGGGGTCTCCTACCCCAGCCCTGGGGAACACCACCGACCAGCAGGCTGCATGCCATTTCTGTGCTGTGCCAGGACAGCAGGCACCGGTAAGTGCTGGGAGTAACTCGGCTTCTCCAGGCCTTCTCAGGGCAACGCTCTCTCAGGCACAGAGGTTCACCAGAAACAGGCTTAGACACTGGTAACTGGAAGAGCTTTTGTCCACCATTACAACCCGTTTATGGTTGCTTGCTGTAGCACGTTACTGTAAATGAAGATCTGACCCCTGGTGCCTGGGCACACCTGCTGAGACAGATGATGACCATTACACTTTTGACAGTGCAGCAAAATATCAATAAAGAGTTCTTAAGCACTAAATAGGGTAGTAGGATAGTGCTTAGGCTAGCCGATTATCTTTTTGTTTCTTTCCTTGCTTTTTTTTTTTTTTTTTTTTTTTTTTTTTTTTTTTTGTGAGGCACCAACAGTCAATACCAAATTTCATGCCATTTAATCACATTTGCAAACCACAGCCAAACTTACTCAGATACATCCAGAAAAGGTATGCTGAAGGCCCTGAAGTTTAGGTTCAGGGTATTTATTGTAGTGACTAATTTTCACACAAACTTGCCATCACCCACTCTTGTGTAGGAGAAAGAGCCTACCTTTCCATCCAGCATAAAAGAGACATTTACTCAGACCTAGAGTCCCTAGAACATCTGTTAGGTGTGGTGTGTTTTGTAACAAAAACCTTTATCCCAGTCTTTCAGGGGAGAACCATCTTTATCCTGTAAAGGACAAAGCTCTTCTGATGCTTTCAAGCCCGATAAGCTGTCAGGATAGACACTCAATTCTTTAATCAGTTCTTCAGTGACTAATCCAATAGTTTCATGACTGGGACTCGCTGGTGGTACCACAACAGGACTAGGATATTTTTTGTAAACACTCAGTAGGACTGTAAGACATCTCATAATGCATTTGTTCAAAGAAGAGTGCATTTAGCTATAGGAGGAAAAACAAACAAACTCATTACCTCTATGGACCCTGGATCTACTTTGACAATTTCTCCTGTGCTGTTGTCATTGCTAAGATTTGGTGGGCTGTGGGAAGGTAGCCTTCTCTCTTCTTTTAAGGCATGCTCCAAAAGTTTCTTATTCAAGATCCTGGCAGCATTTTCTGTAAGTGTATACCCTGGAGGAGCAGATAAGTCCTGCCTGATACTCGTCACCTCAGTCCCATCTTCCTTTTGTGTCTCTGTACCCAAACGGAGAGGACTGGGTGACCTGCCACGGGCATTTGTACATGGCTCCTGCACCGGGCCCAGTTCAGGTCTGGGTTCTGCTGACCTGGATCGGCTGCTAGACCTGGGGCATTTTTGGAAGGTCTCATGAAAGATGGGGCTATGGTCAATAATGTTGAACAAACTGGAGAGGCCATCGTTGATAGTGGTATGGACAGGACTCTCCCTTGTAGTAGTTGATCTAGCCCAAGCGGACTCACTGAATCCTTTCTGAGGTGTGCCAGGCAAAGTCCGGTTATTTGGCTGGTCTGATTTGGGAAGGATTTTTCTCTGCAGCTTTGGGGAGCCGTATTTGGGGGAACAGCATGTGCGTTCAAACTTAGCCTGCACTTTTTCAATGACAGGGGTCACTTGCCTGCTTCTTAGGCTTCTGGATGGTGAGGAGACAGGCGTGGACCCCCCCTTTGGTGTCAGACACTTGTGTGGACTGCTGGTGATACTGCGCAGGGTTTCTGTCTGCAAGCCAACACTGATGGTCTGGGTGGTCTGCGTCCCTGTTGTTCTCATACCATTGGTTTGACACGCGGTGTCCTTAAACTGAGGCTCTGCTGAATTAGAGTTGGAGCGTATTGCGTTCCGGACAGAGAAAGCTACCTCCTTCATATCGTCACTCATGTTTTTGGACATCTCCAAGCTGTGCAAGGGTGAGGCAAAGCCCACGGTAGTGCAAATAGGACGTTCAATGGGATGAAGACCACTCTCCAGAAAATCCTTATGATGTTTGGCCAGGTCACAAGACCATCTTCCAAACATATCCGAGGAAGCACCTTTTGTCTCAGCAACGTTCCCCATAGCTTTGGTCATAGAAAACAAAAAGTCTGGCTCAACCTGGCTTTTCCCCTCACTTCCAGCTATCACTGAATTATCAAACCTACGGACCACTGGTGGGCTGTGAAAGACCCGAACTCCCATTTTTTCGGTGACACCGTGACTCCTCATTGGCTGCTTCTGGCAGTGCTCCGGGCTGGTCATGGTGTTGGTGGTCATGGTGACACTGGTGGTGAGGTACCATGAGGAGGCCTGGAAGGGATCTGAAGCCGGATCGTTCCCGGCTTTCCCAGTTTCTGTCCTTTCTGCCCACCCTTCTGCAGGCTTCTCGGTGGCCCCAACGTGATTTCTAGTGCTACTGTAATCCCAGGTCTTGTTGAACTCCTCGATGTACTTCAGATCATCAGGAGACAAGGGAGGGGTTATGTCGTCTTTGCTGCTGGAGGAAGGCAAGTTTTTTTCTGGTAGAAATGGAGAAATGTCCATCAAGCGCTGGAATTCGGACATGGAAGAAACGGACATGGCCCTGCAGAGAGGAGCACAAGAATGTCAGTCACAGCCTTGGAAGCTCTCACAGAACTACCACTTTCAGCAGAAAACTAACTCAGAAAACTCAACTTTCACTATCTGCTTATATATAAAACCGTTTTAGCCCTCTTGTTTTTTAAATAGCTGGGAAATGTAAGCATTCCTGATGTGTCATTAAAAGTACCAAATGGTTTATTAATGGCTCTTAATTTACTGCGTTCTCATGGGTTACTGCTGGGCAAACGTCTGAAATATGCAGCAGTAGGATGCATTTCAGAAATATATTATTCACAGAAAATGAGTCTTTGTGACAATATGAGGCACACTTTTCAAAGTACAGAGTATTTCTGGCTTGCTGTGAAATCAGCAAGTCTACCCCCACTCCTGAGATTGCTTGGGCTGCACAGCTGGTGTCCCACAGCGGTGTGGGACCTCCAGCCTAGAGGTTGTTACATTTAACTGGCCTGGTGAGTTGAGCTCATGTTATACTTCAACAAAAGGGAGTCTCTATGTGATAATGCTGGATTCTTGGCTTTCCCACACTTTGCTAGCTTGTACAAATCACAGACATTCAGCTGAGTCACCCTACTGCTTCGCTATAAGAAAAATCAACACAGAACCTTTCTGCGTGGCACTACTTAAAAATGTAAATGAGTATAGTTATGAGAGTCTGCTCAATGAGGTCTCCAAAGCTGGATGAGGATTCAGTAAGTGGTGATTTTCATACAGCAGTATTCTGGAGGATACAGTAAAATCACACTGTGAGATTTTAATCAAGAGCACCAGCTGCAGAACTAGAGTGAAAGAGAATCTCCTATTCAGATGCTCTAGTTTGCATCTGGAGACAATCTCAGAGAGCATGGGCTGGATCCCTTTGGGATGAACGTGCTTTCCAGAAGCACAGTAAAAGCACTCTAGGCTTAGGTGGGCATTCAGCCCACGGGATCAGACCAGAACTAGTGCAACGTAAAGCATCTCAAACATGTAGGAGCGTGACGGGTCCTCAGCACCAACTACATGTATTTTTCTCTACATATTGATGCCTACAGGCCTGTACTACTTGCCAACACAGACACAATTTTGTGCACTCTCAGAGGGTTTGATCTTTGTGCATCGCAGCAGAATGTGGCCCACGTTAATCAGAGTAGAACAGAAGCATATTGAGACAAATTAATCCCTGGGTAAATCCATTAATCTGGATTGCAGGCTGATTAGGAGGTGGTACAGCTATGCCTAGGGTCTGTGGTTTGGGCACAAGAGAGCCGGGACTCCGGTGGCTGAATATTTGCTGTTTTTTTTTCCTGTAAGTTTTATTCACCTTTGAAGATTTCCTTTATGTGTTTCTTCCTCCTGAAGAAAAACAGAAACAAACAGTCATTTCTGAACCTGTTTGTGGCTTTAACTTGTGGGTGTTTTGTCATTCACTTGCAGGTATTTCCACCAGGTATGTCTGTCTTTAAAAAGCATCTTGCTCCTTGATAAGAAATCTTAAATTGCCTGTGGGAATACTCTTTCCTTTGCACGTAGGCAGCAAAGTGGTCAATCCCATTAGGACAACAGCCTGCGCAGGGTAAAAGCCTTTATACCAAATCTAGGATAGCCTTTAACTTGTACATGTGGAAAAAAAAACATTCGCAGCTCACTTCCATTTGTGATTGCCAAAACCAGCACACCCCTGCAATCACAAATGGAAGTAAGCTGCAACTGGATTTTTTCCACAAGTACAATGTATTGTTTTGGACTACATATTTGTGAGTGAATTCATTCCATGGAGTTAACCTGCTTTATGTCAGAGGCCTAGCTGTGCTGAAATAAGAGATAAAAAGCTGGTCTTTTGACATAAGATTTCATTGTATGTTCTCTAGGAACTAACAAATGGCACCAGTTGAAACTCATTAAGCTAGCTTTATTAAATGTGTGGGAAGACTATTACTTGTTTCATAGGGGGAATACCTACGGTTTGCTAATGGCATTAAGATGTTTTTATGGCAATTGCTTCCCTGTGACAATCCCATAATTAGTTGTTGTGTGTGTGTTTTTTTTAACAGACACATCTGAAGCAACTGCTCTGCGGTCACTGTTTTTACCGTTTATATTTCTCATAAAATAGGAAATATAAAATATGATCAGGAACCAAAAGAGTATTAGTACCTATTATTGTTATTCAAGCTCATGAAATCATGTACATTAGCAACACCAAAGTGTATTTCACATTATGATTATTCAAAAAGAGCACTGTTTCACTTGGCAAGTGCCTTTCTGGTATTTATCGAGAGTCAGGGAAAAAATAGGAGTTTTAATCTGGTGTAAATCTGTTGGCTTCAGTGGAGAGATTATAGAGTACATTTGACCTAACTGAATGGAGAATCAGGCTGAAGGCTGGATTGACTTTACTACAATTAGTACCACAAAGAAAATACAGTGGCGAGGAATAGTCAGCAGGCTGCAATTGCCTCTGTGCATCCTCAGTAAATCTATTCATTAAACTCTAATCAGTTTTGCTTGAATAAACCTAGTGAGGCGAAATGACTTTGTACGCATTTCACCAAAGCATGCTCTGAAGGGAAGAAGCTGTGCAAATATAACCAAGGACCTAATTTTGCTGCCAATGCTTTTGTCAATGGCGGCAATGTCTGAAAATGGAAAGCATCTAGAGAGATCTCCATTCTTAACTACAAGACTGAATTTTAAGTAAAGAAAACAGCAATCAGAATTAAACATAAAACATAGATCCCTGACAATGCTATCTGATAGAATCCACGTATTTCACTGAGCACTTGAATGTGTATGAAATAAACAGCTGAGAAACAATAAACACAGAATCCCACATCGCTCCCTATACATTTATGACACTGGAAAGAGAAAGTCTATTTGGAGCATGCATGTACCTCCATCTACCTAAAATGTAAGAACTGCAGCCACATTCCTTGCCTTTCTTATTTTTTTTCTCTCCTTTTCCCAAATAATCTGATTTCCCAGTCCTGTAGCTAATGAACAATGTTATCTCTGAAAGAAATGCTTGGGTCAAGTTTTCACAGGCTTGCATGTTCAAGCCAAGGCACACTGATGAAACTTTGTCACACCTACAGGGAGTTTGAGATCTGACTTGCTGACAGACTTTTTTCCAAAGTGGCCAAATTTTCAAGCCTGAGTACACAGGCACATCTTAGACTGTAAAGTCTCTGCTTCTCTATTAGCTATAATGTGTCCACCCAAGCAGACCTGTCGTGCTCAGAGCACAGGCCAAATGTCTAACCCATGTGCACAGATCTGAATTTTCAGTCCAGAAGGAAATACTCCAAACTTGCACTTGGTAAACAGCATGCAGCATGCTGCCCGCTTGGTAATTTTAACTTCCAGAGCTCTCACAATGCATCTTGTTCTGTAACAACCCCAAACAAAACAGACCCAGGTAAACTAAGTGTGTTGTACAGATTTTAGCAGCACACAGACTACATTCACTATGGTCAACAGCATCTTTTAGCACTGTGTTTTGGATCTTTGTATCCTTATGGTGTATGCTTTGCTGATGAAGAACAATTTTAGTTTTTCAACATCTCATCTCACATACTCATCCTAATCTATTGAGGAGCAACCACAATAGAACAATGTGAAGTACTTCTCTACAGCACTTAATTCCTTACTAGCCCATGCTTCTATATATATGTAGCTATTTACAGCTGGATGAGACCTTCTAAGCCAATATATATATCTAATATAGTACCTAATATGAATGGCCAGCAGGTGAGGTAATCTTTGGGACCCTTAGACTGGCTCCCAGTTTCTTCTGTGATTGGCACCAGTCTAATCAGCTCATAACAAGGGACAAACCACATCAATACCAAATTTACTGCTGGATAGCTGCAAAGCAGTGACCATGACACAGTATCTCACTTCTAGAGCACGGATGCTATGCAAACTGTGACACAAGAGACAACATGCAGGCTTGATAAAATTTAGATTGCATACTTCTGTTAATCCAGTAAAGAATTTCTCCCGCTCCAGCTGCCGGGAGCGGTGTTCCTCCGCCTCATCGGGAGAATCGAGGGACAGCGACTCCAGGAAGAGGTTTTCTGTGGCGCTGCACCGGTCGCTCTCCTTCAGTTTGGACAGTGACCGGTCATCAAACTGAATGGCATCTGAGTCGGAGTAGGATCTTGATCCCATCGGGCGAGGCACGTGAAGGTTCCCCTGGGTCGTAAATGGGCGCAGGTTGCTCTCCTTCTGGTCACACAGAAAGCTCCCTCCTCTTCGTGGGCTCACTTCTTTCTGAAGCTGAAAACAAGGCAAGTTGGAAGGATCAGCAATTATTCATGTAGCCTATGGCACCCTGCATTGCTCATCCTTCTCCCGGAGCAAGGCACGCGTGGCCTGGGGAGGCAATGCTGTGTGCCGCTGGGCTGCCTGAGGTCACCGCCTGGCTCCAGGCATGGCGGGTTTGCTCTCTTGGCCCTTTCACAACAAGACATGTATTAAGGACTTGGATGCTGTTACTCAGAGGATTTCAAGTGGTTAAATACATATTTAATTTTGCTTGTTTACGCCTATATGTATACATATATACACTCTGTATATATACACACAAAATCATGTGTCTGCTTGTAATCTGATTTTTAAAGAAACAAATCAACACTGTTGTTTAAAAGCAATCTTGACATAAGATCCTAAAGCAAAACAAGTAGAAGCTCAAATCAGGGTGAGTGATTTTGAGTCTCATCAAAACATACACAAACTTTCTTCTGGTCAGCAATATAAGGATTGCACTTTCATGTACATCACTCACCTTGTTTCCAGAGGGGGAAAATCCCTCTTAACAAAACACAAAAGCTTTGTCTTCAAGGTGGTCTAGCCCTAACACAGAGCTAGAAAGTTGACTATTTGTAATAATAGAATTATCAAGGGGATGAATTAGGCATGCAAAGCACATTTGAAGAAAATACATATTTAATAGAAGGGCCATCAAAGCTATTAACTCTACACTTTAGAAAAACTGGACAGAGAGACAGTGAACCACTGCTGAAATTGAACTTCTGTCAGTCTTAAAATTAGGTTATGTGATCAACATTTCCTTTAATTATGAATATAGCAGGTTAAGCGAAGTGAGTGACATTTTCAAATACAATGAGAGACAGCAGGAATCCGATAAATAATTCTGATGCTTTGCGAGAGCAGCCTGCTAAGGTTACTGGCAATAACCTGCAAATGCTAGTCATTTCCTGGGATCCTGGGGACTGAGGACCTCCTACAAAACATGCTTTTAATGCTGCTGCATGTGTATGGAAAAAAATCAATGGGCATCACATCGCTTAATGTAGATCAAATGCAGATTTTAGGCCAGTTCCTAAATTACTAAATTTTCACTTGGGCTGAAGTCAGTTAGATTTTTGCTTGATTCAGGCCTACAAGAAGGGGAAAGCGTCTTTAGTGTTTTGCTCATTATACACAAAATCTGAAACAGTTTTATTAAAAGGAGCTTAGGAATCCTATAAAGGTAGGGGCTGGAAGGTATATCTGAAGAGATCCCAGAGTCCATTTCCCAGCATATGGGCAGGATCCAAAGCCAGGAGAAATGGTAATTGCACATTGTTGGTGTATACAGATCCACATGCAAGCCACCACTGATTTTCAGAGATCCTTGGAAGATGATTATCTGGGAACCTCTAAGAGAAAACAGCACAGAATACTGGCTCACTCTCTGGATGTCAAACTACTGTCAGGAAAATTAAAATGAGAAATAGTGGCCTAACTTTTCAATTGACTAATGATTTTGAGCCTGAATCTTCTTATACCTATAAAAATACACCTCTCCAAATAGGTGATCTTGTGGTTTCAAATATTTGTTGGTGTGATCTTTGCAGAATTAGCTTAAAGAACACAGTGTGTGTGTGTTCTCTAAGGGAAAACAAAGTGACAGTGTACTTGAAAAGAAAGATAAAAAAAAAATACAACTTTGAGCTCTGAAAAAAAAAGTAGGTCATCATGTTTTTTATATGCAAGTGGTATTCCCATAACTAACCGAAGTAAAGTATTTTATATATTTTATACATTGGTGTGAGCTTCCCTCTTATCATACATCTATTATTCATTAGCTCTGTGAAAGCAGACAGGCATAAAGCATTAGTAAGAAGTTTGGCACACGTGCTTCAGTTCGTTCTTGGACTAGTTTTCAAAGATACACACTGGTGTAGTCTCCTCATCCTCTATGTATCGCCATACATGGAATACACACAGAAGAACACTGGGGAGAAGGACTTCAGAGAAATACTAATTGCTTCCATATAAAGCTGGACACGACTGCCATCTGAGAAGACACTCAACTAAAAGCCTGCAAATATTTGGAAGCTTCCTGTCACACACGGAAATGTTTGATTATAAGCAAAGATGGGATTATGAAGTTTTGCAGGCAGATAGCCAAGCTCTCCAATGCTATTTCTGATCATCTTGTCCTCTGGAATTAGCCTGACACAGTATTTTTTTAATTTTCCCTATCTGTGGGTAACATTGTGTAAAATTCTTGTACTATAAATAGATAGTTGGACCCTGGAAGTTTCAGAATGGTAACAAAAGAAATCAGTTCCAGGGTTAGTTACGAGCTATTCTGTAGACTTTCCCAAGATGACTCTGAGAGGTTATCTCAGGTTTGAAGAGAATTAAAGGCTAGGTAACATTAACAGGGATTTCTCTCCTCCACCCTTCAATGGGCCTTGTTCCCAGGGAATAGAATAAGCAGTTCTGAACCAGGTTAGATCCCTCAGGCTACTGAGGATACATTGAAGAGATAATGTCAAAAAATACAGTTCATAGGCAGTATTATAAACATCCAAAGAGGTACCAGTGATTTTCCAAACTAAAGTTTATGCCCATGTCCTTAGTATAATGGGAAATTTTCTTAATTCTCATTTTGCATGAAGAATCCATAGGAGGTATTTTGGCCACTCAAATTCCAGAATTAGAAATCAGCCCAGACAAAACAGGGAGAAATCAGTATCTTCTGCCAGTGAAGCCTTGGAACCAGATTAACTTTGATGAATCACTCTGCTATAACCCTTCTTACCTCATGTGCATTGTTTATTTTATCTTAAGAGATACACTACAGTTCCACAATACAAGGCGTTGCAAGGCTAGTTCAAGAAGCTGCATGAAGTATTCTCAGAAACCCTCAGATAAACAGGAGTTAAAAAAAAAGCCAGAACATTGTTTATTGATATTTTAAAGTAAGAAGCTCAAATCACCTTTCTTGGTCCATAAAACTTTCATATTGGTCATCACCCACTCGCACCTACACTTTTAGTGGTGGTTTTAGAAATATTTGTGAAGTACAGCATTTTCTTAAGTGCTTCCCAGTGGGCTTACCAGCCATAACTAAAACTGAGGTTTAGTCTTGCACTGATAATATTTACAGCCTGGTGTCTTTTCTCTAGCTTCTTGTTGCAGCCCAAGCATGGGAACATGAGATACAGACAAAGAGCCCTTTTCAAAAATCAGTCATGAAGTCACCCCAGGCTTTCATCAAGCTTAACATGTGAAGCTACTTTGTACTTCATTCAAGCGAAGTGCTCCCTAGAGAGCATGCACAAATCTGGTGCCGTTCCATTTTTGATGTCCTAAGGACAGGAAGTATTCAGTTAATTGAGGACCCACAATTTCAGTTGTTTTTCTTACTCTTCCTGGAATGCATGACTCAGAGCTGAGCAATGTTCAGTCAAAAATGGTGTATTAATTCTCCATCATTAAACTTGATTTTAATATTTTGTGTGGTTTCCAGCCAGACGGAAACCCATTAGGTGAAAGTTGGATCAACATTTTCAAATCAGTATCTAATATTAAGCAGATGGAAGTACATGGTGGTGTAGATGATGGGCATGAAAAACAAGGGGATAGATACACAATTACCAGATTTGCAAATGATAGCAGAGGTGTGCACAAAATTCATGTGACCAAGGCCAAATGTGTCTTCTGAATATTTAGCATTGCAAACTGATTGTTTATTATCAATCAGGGCTCTTCATTGTTATCTCCTGGTTTCCTTTGCTAGAGAAAAAGAATTCAGCTGAGGCTGAATAGTCACAGGCAGCTGCATCTTTGGTGGCAAATTCACAGATGAACAGACTTTTTTTGGCAGGAAGCTGTATATCCAACCTTGAATAACCCTGCATGTGGGACTGAGTGTTTCAGCATGAAGAGATGCACATAAGCTTTCAAACAGAGTGAATCAGTGGGACCGTGCCTGTACAGGGTAATTGAAATAAGGCAGGAAATGGCCTTTAACCTGGACCTGATTTCTCATGAGTGCTCCTTTATAGGGCTTATGAGCATTTTCCTTTTACTCCCTTGAGCATGTAAATTGTTTTGTATCATGGGAAACACTGATGTAGCCAAGGAACCAAAACTGTTCCTGCGCTGTTTCTTACTACAGTTTCTTGACCTTGGTCTGCGTGTAGTAATGGTGCAACACCTCATGCTTTGCAACCAGCCTTTGCCCACTCCTTACCTGCTCTATCCGCCTGAGCAGCTCCTTCTTTTGACGCTCCCATTCTCGTCGGTCCCTATCAAGCCTGTCCAGGAGCTCCACCTTTTCCCGGTTCCAGTTCTTCTCACTGTGCTGGATTTGCCAGCGAAGGTCCATCACCACACTGTGAGTCTCAGCCAGAAGCTTCTTGTGCTCCTCTCTTTCCCGTTTAAAAGCTCCTTTTGCATCAGAAGTGAGGCTTACGTCTCCTGAGGTGTTCTCACTCTTCCCTTCCAGCTGCCATTAAAATAAAACATTATTAGGACACCAAACTTTTGCAGGTAAAACCCTGTGTCAGACAAGGAATTCTAGTTGGAGAGACTTGAAGAGACTTGATGGCTTTGTATAAGTTCAAGAGAGGGGAGAATTTATCCCTGATAAACATCCCTTGATAAAAGCTTCACCTTTTGTTTACAAGTCAGTAGGTGTGTGGATGAGTCAGAATGGGTCACAAGCAACCAAGAGTGAGAAGTAGTGAAAACTCATTTCTGCCTCTGAAGGTAGTTTTCTTCAAAAAGCAGAAGCATCAGGTTTTCTGGGAAACTTGCTCCTTTAGCAAGAGAGAAAGATAGTACCTTCAAACTGTCCAGTGTGGAAAATAATCCCAAACTCTCTGAACAAAGGGAAGTTCAGGCCAGATTAGGGTAATTTGTCTTTGGAACAGCCTCCACAGGTAAAGGGCAGAGAGGTACAGAATTTACTGAGCTGCAGAGAACGGCCTGTTACAGCCACTTGCAGACATTAAATACCTGCATCTCTAGCACCAATTTCCAAAGTCTTTTTTTTTTCTTTTTTTTTTTTCTCTCCAAACCAACCAACCAGAAAAATCATTTACAAAAAAAGCAGCAGCCTATGGTGAGGTTGGGTGGGGCTTGGGCAGCCTTATTTAGGGGGAGATGTCCCTGCCCATGGCTGGGAGGTTGGAATTAGATGATCTTTAAAAGTTTCCTCCCAACCCAAAACATGCTATGATTCTGTGGAAGTTGACATGACACTATCTTCTCTCTATGAACCTATTTATGCAATGCAAATTTGTGGGGCCAGGATGGTGCTGACAGCATTTGATGAGACTCAGACGTGTGTTATTTTGTACAGGCACACATGTCAGATACTGATCGACCTCTGTCTGTAACTAGTCATACCTGTAAAACCTTCCAGAAGTCAGATTTGACAGCAGAGGGGTAGTTCCTTCAGTATTAACTCAAGAACTCACGTTATCAGTAAACAAACTATAAGGCAGATACCAGACTTAGAGGAGAAGAACTAATATCAACTGTATGAAAAAAAATCATTAAAAAGCAATAGATATTAAGAGCATTATAAAGGTGGGGTTCAGCATGAAGGATTAATGGACAAATTAATTACAGATTACTCAAATGTGTTTTGTTTGCTTGTGTTCATTATTTTACTGAAGTCCCACCTGGTTAGTGGTAAAAATCCCACTGATATCAGTGGCACCTGGGTGCAGGTGGGTGTGGGAGCATAGACCAACTGATGGGAACATGGGGGCTGCACTGAGCAGTCCCAAAATAACCTTGCTGCCAACTACTAGACTTCCCTCCTGGCCTTTGGAAGTAGTGTTATGTATTATACTTCTACATCCCTTGTTTTTAAAGCAAATGTGGCAATTACCTGCCGTGTATTATGGAATAAAATCAATTTGCATATGACAAACAGTAAAACAAGATAAATCCGGACTGGTTTGGGCTTTCTCGGCCAGATGTGGTGCCTCTGTGTTTAATGTCTCTCAGTTGGTCTTTTCTTCCCCTGAGGCTGTCCTGAGGCAGGCATCTCCTCCCTTGCTTCTGTGACCTGCAGCGATGTGCCAGGGGTTGTCCCACGCACAATAGCACAGCTCAGTCGTGGACCACAGGTGTTGTGGGGCAGAAATGCAGAACATCCCAGGACAGACATCTGGCCATCTCTGCTGCAGATCCACCATGGGAGACACCGTCTGGTTTGATGGTGTCTGATTTGATGGTGATGGAGACACTGATGGTTTCCAAACTCAGCACTAACTTAAGGTAATGGGCTCTAGCCCCTTGCTGCATCTTCTCTCTGTGCATCCACAAGTCCCCAGCTCCAAAGGGAGGGTCTGGTCAGGTTGACATCCATTCTTTTAGGTTTGTTTTGCTTTGGCCCCTCTGGGTTGCCCTTGCAAGTTCCTTCTGGGTTTACTAAGTGGCTGTGACACTGAATAATCATGTATTTTGGGAGTGTCACTGCAGAGCTGAGATCAGCCAGAATAGTAAGAGACTCTAAAATGATATAAACTCTACCTGGTTTCCTCACATCTAAGCCTGACAGAGGGTTATGTAGAATTTGTCCTTTGCAATATATCTAAGTGATCTTTCAAGTACTTTTAATGCCCTTGCAGACTTCTCATTTTTCATCCTGCAATAGGAGCTCCTGGCAGAAGTTGCTGGAGTGTCTGGAGTAAATCCAGCCAGGCTGGAGTGCAAACTCAACCTTACAACAGTGCTGTCTCCCGGGGAATAATGGCACATTGAGTAGTAGCTATGGCTAACGTGCTAAGCTGACAGACACGCCAATGTCTGCAACAAATTCTTTAGCTGGCATGAAGTCCAAAAAATGCTAAAAGCAACCTATAAGGCAAACACATGTGTTGTTGCAATATGTAGTTTTCACGATTATGGTATAAAGCAAATTTCTTCTTCCATTTTTTTTAATCTCATAAAATTAGCAAAACGTTGAACTCAAGACTCTCTCTTGCCTTACACCACTGAATTCGTAACCACCGTGTGGCAAGTTCTCAGCCTTTCAGTTTGCAAACAAGAAAGGCTGTGGTCCCTAGGCCACGCTGCCTGCATTGAGCAGGAAAGCCAAAAGAGGCAATGAGACAAGAGAACATGCTTCAGAAGAGCAATATCCCAAGGAATGCACAGCTGCCATTAGAGTGCCTTGCCCAAGCTGCTGAAACACTGTAAGTCATCCTGTGCCAGATCACTCACCTAGACCAGAGCCTGTCTCTTCCCCCACTGGAGAAGAATATAGGAAGTACAAAGATGAGTTCAAAACCAAGGTAAATATACAGTGATACACCTTCAGAATAATTTCCGTGTGATTCTTCTGAAAGGGTTGTTAGGCACTGAAAGGGTTGTTAGGCACTGGAACGGGCTGCCCAGGGAGGTGGTGGAGTCACCATCCCTGGAAGTCTTCAAAAGACGTTTAGATGTAGAGCTTAGGGATATGGTTTAGTGGGGACTGTTAGTGTTAGGTTAGAGGTTGGACTCGATGATCTTGAGGTCTCTTCCAACCTAGAAATTCTGTGAAATCTGTGATTTGGGACCTACAGCATTCTTCAGTGAGAGGTGGTGCCTTTACACTTGGAGGACAGTTCTCAGTGCCAGTGAAAGGCAGAAGAGTGTTGCTGGCAAAGAGACTGTCCACCTCTGTGTTTATGAAACGGCTCAAATCATGGAGGAAGGGTCCAGTGGTGGCTCTTTAGCATTAAAGTCTAGATGTGTCCTTTCCAAACCTGCTAACTGCTAAGGTGGCTAGATGTCTCTCCATTTGCACCACAGCTTGCATTTCCCCCAAGAATCCTGAAGCTGGATCACTCATTGGAGTCATAGCGAGGGTTCGTGTCCTTATATGCCAATTCTAAGTGCATATCACAGAATGGTTTGGGTGGGAAGGGACCTCAAAGATTATCCAGTTCCAAACCCCCCTGCCATGGGCAGGGACACCTCCCACCAGACCAGGTTGCTCAAAGCCCCATCCAGCCTGGCCTTGAGCACCTCCAGTGATGGGGCATCCACAGCTTCTCTGGGCAGCCTGTGCCAGAGCCTCACCACCCTCTGAGTGAAGAATTTCCTCCCAACGCCTAATTCAAATCTCCCTTCTTTTAGTTTAAAACCATTCCACCTTGTCCTATCACTATCTGCCTGTTGTTCTCCATCTCTTTTTATAAGTCCCATTTTAGTATTGAAAAGCTGCAGTGAGGCCTCCACAAAGCCTTCTCTTCTCCAGGCTGAATCCCCAGCTCTCTCAGCCTTTCTTCATAGGAGAGGTGCTCCAGCCCTCTGATCACCCTCATGGCCCTCCTCTGGACCCGCTCTAACAGCCCCACATCCTTCTTGTGCTGGGGGCCCCAGACCTGGATGCAGCACTCCAGGTGGGGCCTCACAAGGGCAGAGCAGAGGGGCACAATCACCTCCCTCCCCTGCTGGCCACCCCTCTGTTTTATGCAGGATTTGTTCCCAGTTCCCAGAATACTGGGACTTTTCACTTCTCCAGCTGGAGGCTGAGAATTACTGGGACTCCATTGGTCACAGTCATCAAGATCCCATACTTAGGAGCAATCTCATTATTTCTTAACTTAAAAACAATGCTGAAGGATCCTTCTGCCAAATAAGATGTACATGCATTTCTGACAGCCAAGACCTTTATTTTAATGACATACACAGTGCTAAAGCTCAAAAAGCAGCAGGGAACAGTACATTATCATTTCTGATATGCCGTGTTCTTGCAACAAAGTAGTTTTCTTCCTTCCTTTTGCTCTTTCTTTCCTATACAGAGAGTTCAAGCATCAAAATGCAAAACCATTGTCAGTAACTATTAATTAGGAGGTGACTCTCTTGAGGAAAATGCTCTTCTTAATTGACCTACTGCTTCATGCACACACAAAAAAGTGGAAAGCAGTGACAGTACAGACAACAGTAGAGACAAGAAAGGCCTTGATTCTCTATGGGCTTGTCAGGGGTCGGGCAGCTTTATACCCCCCTACGGTGGGAGTGCTGCACAGCCCGCTGCTTCATCACTCCCAGTAAAAAAGACAAAATGACGTCCTGAGAGGCCCTCCTACCCACACTGCCACGACAGGCTTGGCTGTCTAGCTAAAGATGTTGTTATTCCACATAGTGCCACAGAGCAGCAAATGTTAACACGACATTATGTGATGCTGATGATTTAGGTGTTATTTACTAGCTCCTCCCATCTTGATCCTGAAACTTGACCTACATGTATAACACAGGTTATAAAAATAAACGTTTATAAAAATAAATTCCATATTTGGAATCATTAACAACAGTTTGAGTCAATTTCATATTTACATTTCTATTTAATGTTTATCATATTATTATTTGTATATTTCATTTTTAATTGCTTCCTTATAACTGTGAGCACATACAACAGACCTCAGTGGGACACTCACGTTGTTTGCACTATCCTAATTGACACTCTCATGATTTATGTACTCTCTTTTTGCTACTTCATTAGGGACCCGTTTTTACTGTGAAATATAAATGCGGCTTGGGGAATCTGCTGAGGAAGTCAGCTTTACGTCTTAAATATTGATCAGTTTTATTCTTCTCACTTGCTTGAAAAAATGCAAAAAGTAACACCCACGGCTCAGAAATTACCATATGTTACAGATTATTACCAATAGAGCAGCGGAGATGGCAAGAAGCCTGACAACGTCACCAGAAGGAAGGGTGCAAATCTATCTTGTCCCTGGAAAGGAAGAGCAGCACTGTCCTGCTTGCCAAGCACCAGCCAAAGCAGCAGTCCAGGAGTAAATCACCCATGCAAATGCAAAGTATGCAAGCTTGAAACTGGCAGTTAGTTCTCAAAATAGCTTTCTTTAGGCTTCATTATTTGTTGCCATCTCTAGCTTAAGGTAAAACTGTCACCAAGGCTTTATTTTGGGAGGAGCAAAACTGGGGATTGATTTTGTTTCTCTTTTCAAATGATCTGCTGTCTGGAAACTTGTGTGCACTAAGAAGCAGCTGATCTGAACTGAGAATTTGAATCCACTGAGAAAAAACTCTGCTAAAATGAAAGCTTCTCCCTTCATTCTGGGAAACAAGCCTACAGTACCTGGGCAGAAAAATAAGTGCTCACAACTCAGTGCTGTGCGTCACAGTGAGTCTCCAGACAGTGCTGCGATGTTCAGTGAATCTTCCTAAATATACCACCCTCCCAACAGTGAATATTTTTATTATATCTGTCTTCTGCAGAGGAGCTCTACAATTGCAAATCCTTTTCTCAGGATCTGAACGTAATCATTCTTCCACTCCTCCTCTCTTCAATGTGGAGGTTTTACGCCATCAGCTTTGGAAATGAATCTTTGTTTTTTTCTTTTTTTTTTTTTTCTTTTTTTTTTTCCTCTCTTTTTTTTTCTTTTTTCTTTTTCTTTTTTCTTTTTTTCCTTATTTGTCTTCTTATTGCTTCAGAAATTGTACATCTTCTGTAAACAGCAGTATGTGGCACTGTAGCACCTGGCCCCAGATTTTATACACATACTTCTAATAGGAAGTTATGGTGGATGCTAGAGCTCTCTCTTCAGTGGGGTACCATCCATCACTAACCAGCAGCTTCGACTGGCTGGTTTAATACTAACAAACAGATCTAACGCTTCAGCATTATTAAATCACTCTTTTCTTGCCTATGCATCAAATGCTGCAGTTCCTATGTGCCAAGGCACAGTGACGAGCTAGTTGTCAGCATGCCAACATCAAGACATTTTCTCTCCTATAAGAGCCAACAAATACAGAAACCCGCATGTCTCATTATCACAGCTGATGCATTACCAGCCAGCTCTTCTGAGAAAATACAGCTAGAATAGGTTTAATTCCTTCATCCCTACGTACATTACACAGCACCCACTACACAAATACTCTTACTGGGACACCTAGAACCCAAGAGGCAACACATGACTTTGGGGGTCTTTCAGGTGTCAGGCTAAAATGAGTGAACGTGGCATCTCTCCTGACACTCAAAGATTTCCTGTTTCGTTAAGTGAATGTGCCATCCTTTAAGGGTGTTGGATGCAGGAGGGACGCTACCTGTTCTAGGTGGCACTTCAGCTCAGTCATTTCCACCTCCCAGGCTGCCTTGTCCAGGGCATACTGCTGCTGGAGCCCATGGCGCTCTCGCTCGTCGTCCCGCAGCTCCGAGCGGAAGTCATCCAGCAAACCCTTCACAGCGTTCAGCAGTTTCCGATTTTCACTTGCCTGCCAGAACAAAGCAAAACAAAAGTTGTCATCGGGTGGCTTTAGGCACCAGATTCATCTGTAAGAGGAAAAAATGCCTGCATGTCCATTGCGATGGCAATGTCTTCTGTGTCTACTTTTCCTTGCTACAGGATACTCAAGTCACACTGAAAAAGGCATTAAACAACTTTCAGGATTGAAGACATCTGTAATAATGTCCCCCTAAATACTGTAAGGCAAAAATAGGGTATCACTGCTGAGGTTTGTTGGGTAGCTGTACATCTCATACTTACAGTCATTGCTCAGCATCAAACCTCGTATGTTTTTAAACTACACGTAAAGGAAAGTGATTAATTTTCCAAGCTTTTTATTATCAAACAAAATTACTCAGGAAAAAAAGTGAGGTTTTGATCAAAGTATCTTTGCTAAGGTGTTTCACTAGAACACATTTTGCACTTCCCCTCAGTATTTAATCACCTGGTTCTCATGAGTGTGTTAGTCTCCTTGGAAAGGCCTAACTCAAATTAGCTGTCTTGATTCTTGCATGATAATCTAATTCATTTTAATTTTTATTTATTTTTTTTTCAAGTGGAGGCTTCCTGCATTTCCTCTTATCTGGTGTTTCATGAAGTGCCTACACAGGGACTTCTTTTAGACAAGTCAAGCAAACAGATGTACATAAAAATCTAAATAATTTTTCATATATATATATATATATATTAATGACAATACAAATAGAATTTTATACATACAACTAATCTGATTTCATGTCCTTATCAGATTTTTGGCATCACTGAACCCACCTCACCCATTTTTGTAATCACCAGTCAGACATGCCAGGGCACCTTTTTTCTTTAAAAACAAACAAACATGCTCTACTTTTTCCAAGACATTTGATTCATTAGGAAAGAAAAACAAAAACAAAACCAAAACAGACACGGGGAAATGACTGCAGGATGACTGCAGGTGCTCACTGACTGACCTATAATCTGTTTGGGCTAATGAAATGTGATGGTGTACAATGCGGGGTTTTATAAGAAACACACTCACAGAAGCAGAATTAATTCCATTAACATTTTATGCCAATTAGCAGTTTCCTATTATACAGCAGCAGTCTTCATCATACATATAAAATCTCCTACTTTTCAATATGTAATGAGATTTTATGTTTTCTCTATGAATTTTCATTCTGATATCAAGTTAAGGCTAGATTCCCCAAACATCTCAAGATCCTTCTGTTATAATCAGAATTAGAGCTCTTCTGAAGATTTGCCCTTACTGTCTGTTACAATGGGAGCTGCTGGGTACTGAGTGCTTCAAAATCTGGCCTCACCCTCTTTTGAAAAGCCTGACCCCACAAGTTTATTAAGTGCTTTTATTCAGGAACCACATTCTGTGCTTGCTGGTATGCTTTATTTGGCAAAGTAATCAAAAGGCTCCACAAGGGAAATGAGGCAGAAGAAAAATAAAACCAAGACTAAAAGCAAGACTAAAGCAAGCTACATCCCTCATTCCTGTGCATATATATTTTTTTTCAGATTTAGAGTTCTGTAAAATAAGGTTTTGTGAAGAAGTGATGGACTAGTAAAGAGAGGAGCCAAAAGAGCCTAATTACAGGTTTGTAGCCTACTGGGATAAGGACACATCTCATTTCAAGAGGCATTACATCAATGTCGTTGTTATGAGACAAGTAGCCCAGGTGCCCCCTGGGCTTGCTGGGATTTTAATTAACTTGCCAATGTAAATCCAGTTTTGGTTACATACTTCTAATTCCTGCAGAGAATTCTTTTTTTTGCATGACTTTGTATTTACAGTCTGAAGTTGGAGAGGTCTGTGAGATTATTTCTCTGGTTTGCCAAACTAGAGTGTTTTTAGGGAACAGATGAAGTACTTCTGAGACAATGTGTTCTGAAATACAACATTTACATCTAGACATGTCTGAGATTTCTGCTGCTAAAACCGCCAAACAGCTTCTGCATGAGAATAAGTCCCACAGATACAAAATAAAGATTATTATGGTCTTTCTGTTCCTCCCAGGGATGTTGTGCAGGCAGAATAAATGGAGCATGGTTGTGACTCCCTGGGCAGCCTCCCATGCAAGGAGGCTCTTTAGTACCTTACCATACTTTTGAGTATAGAGGAACCCAACTGACTCACAACTGGTCTAAGACAAGAAAATTATAAAAGTGCGTTGAAGTCTCACTGCATCCACTGCTCAGGATTTATAGGTGAAGAAAACAAGAGCTGACAAGAAATGAAAACTTAATGTAGTAAACCTCTGGTAAATTCCAGGTCTTTGGACTCTTTGATAAGTAGTCACCCCTAGAGATGGGAGCTTCCAGCAGTAGAAAAGTTTGGGACCAGAGCCGTTGTCTGAAGCTTGGCTCTGCTTTTAATCACAATTCTCTTTTCTTTGAGAATTTTACCTCAGAATTCTGCCAGAGTCTGCTATTACAAGCAGCTTAGTAGAGTAGTCAATTAAAACCACAAGGTCAGGAGCCTAAACAGAAAACAAGAACCATGGATTTTCTCTGTGTAGGCAGGAGATCTATGCAAAAGTGAAGCTAGGTCTTGGTGCAGATGATTTTAGTACATATAAGTTTTAATTACTATTCCTTTGGGCTTTTTCCTTAGCCTATGCTTTGAAAACAAATAATGTAAGAACAAAAAAAAGATCTAACTGGGAATTTTCTTGATCTCCCCCCAACCACCAGCAATAGATGAGTGTATTGCTTTTCAGTGCTTTTTCCTTTGTATCACATATGTTTAAATATTTATTTTCTTCTTACTTCCCTGTATTTACACCATCCAACTGATGCTCCACTCTTTCTACTCAACTGAAGCAAAGTAATCTCTTTTTCTGCAAGTAATTCTCCCTCATTTCTTGCTACACACATTGAAATGCTCATTTACAGCAAGACCTCCTCTGCAGGGCTATCAGCCTGACTTGCCAGCTTATCTTCACCAGACTTCCTTCATGGCTCTTGAACCTTGCCAGTTCCTTGCCCAACCCATTGGCAATGTGCCCTAGCTATCAGCTATGGGACAATGCCAGCTCCAGGGATCTGGGTTATGTCAGAAAGGTCTGGCTGGGACAGGAGGCACCCAAGCAAGAGCAGCATGAAGAGAAAGATGAACTGGCTCCTCTCAGAGTTTGCACATACTTTGCCTCTCATCATCTACCCTTTTATTTCCCCTTTCCCCTCTGCTGTACCTTCATCCCTCCACATACCAGCCACATAAAAATCCTAGGCAAGTGAGGCATGTACTTTCCATCAAGTTGAGTAACTCAAATCATAATAATATAACATTAAAGGCTGCTTTTTGAAATTAAGGCCTCAAGGGTTATAATTTTTCTCAAAGGTATTTCACTTTTCAGGCAAGGTAAGAAAGTCAGCAGTAAGAATGCAGGCTGAAAATACAAGTCATTAAATATTAACATTAAGTGTTAAAAATAAGCATGGGTTACTTCAAGTTACAGGAAGCCTTTTCTTTTTTTCTGACCTAGTTGTCTCAGCCACTCTTAGACTACTGAAAATTTTCCTTCCTAATGTGAAACAAATGCTGATGCATATCATCCTGGAGCTCACCAAGCAGAACCAACAACTTAGCACTCTCCTGGGCAGGTGCAAAACTTGTAGACTCCTAGCTTCACCACTCACCCCAATTTCAGTGTTTATTTCCAGCTGAGAGCTTAAGGGACCTCCAGCAGACCTCCTCCAAAAACCTAGGTACTTTTTTTAGCACAGCCTGACTAGTCAGTGGTGTACTGGGAGGTGAGTGCTGCTGACATCCATCCCTTCAGGATGGATTTGCACTGGGTCTGTGATACTCTCAGAGCTCTTAGACCTGCAATTACACAAGTGAAGTGGTTTCTCACTCCAGTTTTGTTTAGCTAATAGATGTATTAACAAGCTTGTGTTTGGGGATCATAAATGAATTAAGTGGAGCTGGCATTTGTAGGAGAAAGTCTGTAATTTGTGTAGAGCAAAGACAGGGTTCTGTGAAGGTGGTGAGTGTGGTGAAGGTCCTGCACACATGAGGTTTTGCAGAGCCAAGCTGTCCACGACAGTGAGAAGGACAATTCAAGCACAAAAGATACTGAGGAGCAAGGCCCTGGCAGAGCCTTGAGGGCACAGGAAGTGTGTCACCATCTTCCAGAAGACACTGCCAATGCTTGAATCCATGACAGCATCAGAATTAACCTACACTAAGGCTTTCTGCTTCTGTGACAAAGTACAATAATAATCCTTTCTTTCAGTTCACAAATACAAGCCCTGCAGCACTGAAACTCCTTTTTATCTGCTAGTCAGTACATACAGTGCTTGTTTGAAGATTCAGCACGTTATAACATAGAGTGAGCAGGCAAAACACTTAATAGTGCTTGAAATGATAAATACTTAGCAGACACACTCATACTTGCAGTGTTGAAGGTACCACTTTTTTCTTTGTGGGAAGGCAAGAAACCTATTCCATCTTCACAGGTCCATTTGGATATCATGCAGTATTCAATATCAAGAGGGGTGAGACATATTCTGTTCCTATGGCTCATTTCTTTAAGCAACATTAGCAGGAACTGCTGCATTAGACTATCTAGCAAAGTTTATAAAAATGAATTATATGAAATTCTGCTTCCCATTTCTGCTGCTTTAGTTGCGATTAATGTTGAAGCAATAATTATTTCAAGGAGGACATAATTTATTTGAATGTTCTTGGTCATTTTAAGAGATATATATGGACAGTTAGTGTAGGACACAGGTTGTACCAAGTTATTATGGTGATTTACATTTATTTTACTCAGTTTACATCAATCTACAAATGCAATACAGTTAAATGATGTAGTCAAGGGCATTTCTTCCATGGCCTTCTTCAGCCGCTATGAGAGAACAGTTTGCCAAGAGGATGATTGTGATGGTGCTGGGTGGCTGGTAAGGTATGTCCTTGAAAAAAACAATTGTCTGACCTTCCACAGTATTAGCAATGTTAGGTCCTTTCCAAATACCAAATTGATCAACTTTTTGTTACCTTGGTAGCATGTCACAGAAAGTCAGCTAGAGAGTAGAGTTGTCAGCTAGTACAATTAAAAAGGAAAGCAAAAGAGTGTATAAATATAAAGTGGAATATGAAGTGGCATAAAGACCACATTTTTTTGTTCTCTAGCATTTTTTATTCACACTGAAATTCTATATGAAGTTACACCTTGAATTAGTGAGCCTGGTTGCAAGGCAGCCTCTGCATCTTCCAGCACCTACAAGTCTTATCTTATTATAGGACAGAGATTTACTGTTGTCTGCTGTGTATCTATTAGACCATATAGATAATAAGTAAACAGGTTGTACATGGTCCCATGAGTGTGGAGAATGCAAGGCAAAGAACTGAAATGCAAAGACGCACACCAACCCAAGAGCCCGCAGTGGGTCCAGCAAAGTAATGCGATCATTGGGATGTATTTGTCTGAGAGCACTCGTGTGGATTGGGCTCCCAAGCCAGGGGCCTGGACAGGTACTGAGAATAACACAGAAACCTTCAAGACCTTTTTCACTGACTTTGTATTTTACACATAATTCTCACTCCATTTTCTTTCTAATAGCAAATAATTCCATGGAACAAGACGTTGTCGTCTGCACATTTTCCACTTAAAAAATACAAGAGGCACCAGAAGAACTCATAGAAGCCTTAATGCTGTCACCTTTGTGTGTTTATTGTAAGTGGTAGGACTGCTGGTATATTGATGCACAAAACAAAAAGCTAGGATATATGGTAGTGCTCTGACACACATAAGCAGGGCAATGGAGATGTCAGGGAAAAGTCATATTGGTTTGCTTTTAGGTATTTAAGAACAAGTTCAGTGACAGGAAGGAACTTTTGAATTGCTTTTTCATCATCTCTAAGGGAAACATTAAATACATGTACTAGTTTCTTAAATTATTTAGAGGAAATAAAATCACCTCTTCTTGCTAAAAGCTTGACAGTAGAATACAATAGATGTGCTCAGGCAAGAGGAGCATGTAAATTCTGCAAACCATCAAATACTGATAGATGTTTCTGGGCAAACAGCCACAAGAGGAAATAGGATTTCTCACTGATAGCAACTGCCAACAAGAGAACAGTAATCACATGGCTCCTGATTAAATATAAATATAACGGATGAAATCCATTGTAATTGCTGTGTAGCTAGCAGTATTTTTACAAGTGTGATTCTAGGTGATTTTGAACACACCAGCAGAAGGAAATGAATTCAATTGGAAAATCCACAGCTTCCATTCCCAGGGCATGATATACAAATAGTATGGTACCTGCTTCTGCTGCTGTAGTAATTCTGCAGTCTGCAGCTGTGGTCTCTGATCACTGTTCTCCGCAGTGGGACGCTGGGAGAAATCTGTCAGTGCGAACACAACATCCTCTTCCTCCTCCTCTCGCTCTGCATCATCCGCCTTCTGCTCAGACTGAATGCCAAATTCTGGGAGGGCCTCGAGATGCTCAATCTGAAATGTAAGAGATGGGACACATCAACACTTTTTGCCACCTACCTAGGTGCACAGAAATCTACTGATGGGCTAAGAGAAGGGATTATTTTCTCCTGGGGCTCTAAGGTGGGATATATTGACTTCTGTAGGGCACAGGGAATGGTCTGCGAGTGACATCGTATGACACGTTGCATATGAGAACATGCAATGCAGGCCTGCAAGACAGGAGATCTAAACAGCTGAGAGGATGGGTGTAGTGCAGAGCAGTATGATGGATATAATCCACCATGCATCAGTGAGACTAGACAGGACACTGGTGGTATTGCATAATGAAAACATGGAGATCAGGGAGTATCCCTATCTAGCACTTTATTCTCTCTACTGCATTAGCAAAGAGCTTGACACCACTAATGACTGGAGATGGACTGATTGTAAATTAACCAGTCAAAAAATCAAAACAGTGAAAAAATGAAACCTGTTTTGATATTAGAAGATGAGCTAGTTTACACAGAAGCAAATTAGTACTGCTGAAGTGAAGTAGAATGAAATTATTTCTAAATAGCTACTCATCTCTTGTTTCTGACTCATTATACCATAGCTGATAAAGTTAAAGATGCTCACCCACCCTTTATCCAGAATACAAAACACTGGAGCTTTCTACTTAAGCATATTCATACCAGAGCTGAAAGGTTACTCATTCTGTCAAATATAGCAAACACTGAAAGACACTAGGTATACAGATACATGAAATACTGAAAAAAAAAAAAATAAATAAAAAAATACTTAGGTGCCTTAGCAAAGGGTTTCAGAATTGCAGAATAAATGGTTGCAGGGTCAAGGTATGATTCTCAAGAATTTTTGTTAAAGTGTCAGAATGGACAAGCATATTTTTCTACTTCTGTTTTCTTTAGGTAAGATTTTTGAATCAAATGGTAATTCTGGATATGCAGCTTGACACAATTTAAAAGCACCTTTTTTTTTTTACAGTGCCCGTTCTGGCAATTACATCCTTTCTAAAATGTGTCAGCTTAGGGATTCCAGGTTGTTATGTACTCCTGAAATTCCTGATCTTAATTTAGTTTCTACTTGGAAAATTACTTAGATGACTACTGGTGTACTGCTGCTGACGGTGATAGACGTGTGTACAAGGAAAAGGAACAAACAAGAATGATTCACTGTAAGTTCCCACAAGAAACTGTACAATTCTCTTGCCAACATGAAAACAGAGCTTCCCTCCATCTGTATTGCTGCAGGCTTCATAAAGAACACACTGTGCACACAATGACAAAAATGGCAGCACTCAATCTATCCAAACAGATTTGATTCCACCAGCTCACAAATGTCTCTCTCTTCCCAAAAATTATTCAGGAGTCTTATCATAGAGACCTAATTAACTCTTAATTTACTATGTGAGATTTTTTTTCAAGGCCAGATGCTTGTACTAGTTAAGGGTTTAGATTTAAAGAGAGGTGATCTGTAACATAAAGGTATCATGCAAAATATCCTTCAGCACAAGTCAACCTTTAAAACAAAAAGTCATGTTTGATCTGAATCCCCTTAAAATCTGTGAGTAATTATAGAGTTCCTGATGCCAGTTTGTACTTAAAATCTAGTTAAAGAATGGACACCCCACTGCTTGCAATTTCATTGGGTTAATGAGGTGCTCTGGTTACCTCTAATATGTCCTCCCCTTCCTCCTCCATTCGCTTGCCTTGCCGCCAGTGCTTCAGCAGCCACTTCAGTTTGACGTACAGGAGGAAGGTGTCCTGCTTGAAATGCCTGAGTTCTTGGTGCAGTAGGCTCTTCTCCTGGCTCCAGGTCTTCTCTTCCAGTTTGTTCTGCAAAGTCAAGCTCTGCACTTCCAAATCTTTCCTCCGCAGGGTCTGCATATGCTCCTCCTCCAGCTTTAATGGAACAACAGACACCATGTCAGTGTGCTGGGGGGCCTCCAGGATTTGAACTTTGTTGGGTGAGACAAACTGAAATCTCTAAGTTTCATCAATAGTGAGTTGCTATTGAGTTTGGCTCAACGGATTCCTCAGCAGTCATAACTGGCATGCTGAGGAAATTAGAGGACAGCAGCTGATAAATTTAGCTTAGATAACCATATGCAAGTAATCTGCAGTGAAAGTGGACAGTTTGTTTACTTTAAAGATGCATGAGAACTCTGTTGCTGCTTAAACATTTTATACCCTTCATATTTTCTTCTCTTGACTCTATCCCAGCACGGGCACCACCCTGAACTGCTGCACACATCACACCTGCTAAATGCATTTGTAGCTATTCCTAGGAGGTGAGACTGCAGCTGCCCCTCAAGACAGTCTGGAATATTCACAGAATCATCCCAGAAAGGCTTGGGTTGGAAGGGACCTTAAAGATCACCTCGTTCCAACCCCCCTGCCATGGGCAGGGATGCCACCCACTAGACCAGGTTGCCCAAGGCCTCATCCAACCTGGCCTTGAACACCTCCAGGGATGAGACATCCACAGCTTCTCTGGGCAAACTGTTCAATATTATCTTCACCTCTTCCTTCCCTGGCCACAGACTCATCCCTTCCTCTGTGACTACATCTCCTTCTCCTTCGGGAAGGGCAATGCTTCCCAAGGACCCACAACAGTACCTCAGGTACAACTACTGATGCTTCACTTTTCACAGTTCATACTCAGAGGTATCTGAGCTTAGAAGAAAAATACTTCTAGATAAGGGAGACATGCAGGAATTGAAGAGACAAAAATAGGCTGCAACTTGGCATTCACAGTGTCTCAGTTTCAGTTCTAGAAGCACCAGAATAAGCTCGTGGTTTGAAGAACACATATAATTGCACCTGTTTCAACACAAGCTCACCTGAAACAATATTTTTAAAAGTGACTTCTCCCTCAATATGTCAAAAATCAACCCATGGCATGACCATGGCCCAACAGCACTTATACAAGTTTGTTGTACCGCATCTCATACTCTGCACGGATGAGATGGTATTTCCCCTTCAACCAAGTTGTAGTTCTGATTGATCAAGAAAAGGCAGCCAGAAAAAGAATACAGAACCACTTGCCAATGCCAGTTTCTACTAGCTTTCCATTTTGTGGAACAACAGCATCTCCTTTGACGAGCTTCGCAGATGACATCTGCGAAAGCCGCTAATGACCACAACAATTTAAACATAGGAACATTCCTGCAGTAAACAACATTCACGAAGGAATGAAGAATGCTTCAGAGATTCTTCTTCAGGAGCATGGAGCACCTAGCACTCCATACTGCCAATAAATATATGCTTGGTTTTCCCAGCAACATTTGATGTTGGTGACACAGGCTACCATCCCTCACTAGGTAATTTACTAATGGTTCTCCTGCCCTTTAAATGAGGTGTTCTGGCATAACACAAACTTTCAGCGTTTATGCAACCATGCCTTAAGAAGTTCTTCAACATATATCCATAACATTGATATAGATGATCTGGAAGATTTTTAGAATAAAGTTTGTAAATAAATCATTCTTTAAGTAACTATAAAGCTTAGAAATATATTCTTGAGTAAAACTAAGCTTATTCACAGTAGTTTCTAACTTAAATGCATCTTAAAAGTATTCTGAAAAAAAATGAGATGTAATGGCCCCCAAAACATACATGTAATTCCTGATAACTGTCATGGGGGCTATACACTGCTACCCTATATCCATCTAATGCCATTAAATATCACCAAAAAAAAAAAAAAGTTAAAAAAGGGTGTTCTTTTACACTCCATTTTAAAGGGAAGAAATGAGTAGATTTTGTGTTGATGCAGATTCTTCCACCAAATGGAGCTATGGTTAAATACAGCAAAGATCTATGAGTCATTTCCACCAGAAATCCTGGAAGATGATAAAAAAAGAATAATATCAACAGGATGGGCATAATCTGGAAAAAATGAAAAATCCAGAAGATGTTTTTACTATTCTATTTCTATTGGCTGTTAGCATGAATTGTTAGCTTTGATTCTGCTTCATTTTTAATTGTTTTTACAAGCTGTTATGATCTAAGTCCCTATGGCCACAAATTCTTGCAGAAGACCCTGGTGGAGGTAGCTTCACAGAGTTTTGTGCTTTTTTCAATGGACAGCTATTGCAAAAGAAAAGAAATTGGAGGAGGGCATAGCTTCCAAAAAGCATTAATGGCCAAGGCAACTAGGAAGGAAATCAATTTACTGGTTGCCTTCAAAAGCTTCCTTGAGAAAGCTCCTACCGAGATCAACTGAAAATTAAAGCTACTTATGAAAAATGGAGAGATACTTGGACATAATGAGATTAGCTGGCACAAGGATAAATGCTTTATATACTATGCAGCAATTGTGATTAATTTAGTCTATGAGTAAACTTAAAAAGAAAACTTCAGTTAAGAGCCAACAGCCTGCAAAAATGTGCAACAGATTTATCTACCTATTTATTTATTTATTTATCTATTTATTTATTCTCTTCTCTAGAAGCTCAAGGTCATGAAACTATTGGTTAATATGCTCCAACCTTCAAAAAAGCAGGGGGAGCTCATGTAACAAAATATGATTTGTTCACCAATTACAAATAAGAGGGTTGGAAGCATGAGGTACTAAGGAACAAAAGATCCTGGTTTGTGTCTCTGATCCAAGAGTGCAACAACTCCTCCAACATCAGAGAAGAGATGGATTTTCTTTGGACTAGCAGGGGTCTGAAAAAGGAACAGAGCCAAACCATGCTCCTGGAGATCAAATGCACTCTTCCCTCGCTCATGGAGAACTGACGGGGCTGATATAACTCCCTGGGCAGTGTTTCACATCCCTGCCTCAGCTTCCCCTTGCACTCATCTCTTGAGAAGGCTGTCTGGCAGGAAATAACCCATACAGCTTGATTTCCTCTGCCAGTGCCATGGCCTCCTCATAACATGGGCAACATGCAGGGGAGGGCAAAACTCGTTTCCAGCAATCAGAGAAACCAGACTCAAAGCTGCAAAATGGGCTTGAGTTTGTGTCTCCCCAGCTTCCAAATTCTCCACATTGACCCAGTGAAAAAAGCCCAGCTGTTGGACTGAGGCTCCCATGTTCCTGACAAACGAGGTGCACACCGCGAGGTGCACGCGGCAGGGTCACGCGTCTCTCCCAGCAGCCGGGTTTCGTATTTACCTGAATGATCCTTTCTGTAAACTTTTCTTGCTCCTCTCGGTGAAGTCTTGTCTCCTGCTCAAGCTGAGCCTGAAGCTCCTGTATCGATACACTCTGTACAGGTAAAACATGGGAACCCCTCAGCTGATCAGCAGGACAAAGGGGTAGGCATAGCGGAAAGCGGGTCTCAGTGGTGGAAAAAAGAGGAAAAAGAAAAGAACCGCAGGACAGACATCTGCACAACTCACGGTTATTGATAGTTAAAACCAAAGCACAGTGTGCAAATAAACAGCAGTGCCCTACATGGCTGTGGGAATTGCCTGTGTGGCTTCTGAAGGCTAAAGCTGTGATGCTGGTGTTACTCGTTGTGTTCTTCCCTTCAGGCCCCTGCTCCAGGGTTGCACTGAAGCAGGTGAGGCAGCTCACCCCGAATGGAGCCTGCCAGATCAGCTCCTACTAACAGGATTCCACGTTTGGAGGCAGATTTTCCTATGATAATCAACGCCTTAAAATTTAAACACCTCTGCACAAGATTTATCTAATGTACGTATATTGTACCTTATTATTTATTCATGTGCAATACTTCTGAGGAGACAGCTAATGGGATAATATTTATTAAACCAACTGAGCATAAAAAGTCCCTTTCTTCAGATACAGAACAGCTCTGCACAAGTGGACTTCATTCTGCAATTTCCACTCAAAATAATTACTCTATAAAAGTCACGGTGATGAGCTAGGTGAGCCTAAGATCTGACCGTTACGCTTAAGTATCTCCCCTTCCAGGTCCAACACTATTTTTATCTTAATAATTTCAATTTTACATTGAATATAAATTTGGGATCTCATCCACTTTGTTCCTGACAGTTACTTAATTCAAAAATAAAGACCCAAGAAGGCAGAGTCACAGCCCTTGTTATTTATACTCTGCTAATTAATCTTGTGGCACTTACACTCCTGATCAGCGCTTTCTACATCCTTCATTTTCTTTCTCACATTGGAGCTAGACTTGATTTGCCTGCAGCAATGTGGTGCTCAGCCAGGCTCTCTTCACACGCACCAGGAGTGCGACCACAGAAAGCTCTGCGGCACCAATTGCCTGCTTTCCAGAGCAAAGAAGCAGTTAAAGAAGGGGTCCCTTCAGGCTTTGAAGCACAAACCCAAATTCTCCACTGGCTGATGTCCAGCACACTCCAACCTCAGCAGGTGCGAGGACTTAATGCTGGCTGCCAGGGGCTGCACTGGCATCAGCCCCAGCATCCTTCTCCTCTCCCTTCCGGAGAGCAAAACCAGCTCCTGCTGCTGTTGGGGCCATGGTTACTCAAAGCAGTCTTGGTTACTCAAAATACAAAAAACTATTTGCCCCTGGAACAGATGCTCCTGTCCTCCTCTAGGGAAGAAGGAGATAAAGCAGACAGAAGGATCCCCAAAACCACCTGCAGGACCGTACTCCACTGAGCAACAGAAGTCACCTACATCTACTTTCTGGGCCCTCTAAGTTCCTTCTTCACTTGACACCCTTACTGACTTGTGCATGTCTGTGTTGTACCTGAAGAAGTGACACTTCCAGCACTCAGAAGGGCATGCAGAAGGTTACTGAGAGTGAGCTACCACATTATCTGCCTTACCCATTTTGTTTGAGGCATTAACGGGTCTACAGACACGTTTTATTGCACAAGACCAATTTGGTCTCACATATAACTTGGAAAGAACTGCTTGCAGTGGGATTTGTGAGTTTTGTGCAATTATTTGTAAATCATGTGATACATTCAGGTACATATCATCCAACAAAAGAAAAATTACTTTCATCAGTAATTTCTGCACTTTTTTTTTTTTTTTTTTTTTTTTTCTTTTCTTTTCTGATAAAGTTTCTTTAGGAACATGGTAAATAAGTGCCAATGTACCCAGTTAATTCAGGCGTAATTTTAAGAAGGGGTGTTCCTTCTTTCTATGTATTTAAAATTAGTCAGAATCACGCAAAGTCTTTCTGGCACAAACAGTTACAACATGGCAACTCTTTCCTGTTGCCAATAATCACTTAAAAAATCTTATAATGTGCCTCAAGAAACGGAGACAGCACAATTCTTGTAAAAATGAATATGTTATTAATTTGAAATATATAGGAAGTATAACTGATCTATAACTGATCTTAATGTGACTCTTTCTAGAGCCATAGGACTACATATTTGGGCAGCTAGAAATAATGTTCATTTTCGGACTCCTGAAATTGGGAGCTGAATCAGAGCAGCAAAAGCTTTTCCCAGGAAGCCAAGGTTTGAATTTTTCACTGTTCACTTTGCCCTTGTGTTTTCCGATCAACAACGATTTGCTAAGAGATCATATGTTGCAATTTAGACTACTGTTAATTGGAACTACACAGTTACATAAACACTGAGAACATCTCGTGTCTGCAAAATTAGGACAAGAAAACGATGAACTTGTGCAAATTTTTTAAAACATGCAGCCCATGCAAAGCCAAGTTCCAGGAAGCTTGGGCAGTGGGATTACATGATAACTTCTGGAATTACTAGGAAGAGTTTAAGTACATCATAAAGGCATATATACTATTACATGCACACTTAACAGTGCAAATCCTTTTACAATTGCTTTGCCTATTCAAGGATGATATATTTTTATAAGCGGCAAACATGCTGAAGATCAGCTAATGCATGAATGCAGAGCTGCACAACTTTTTTTCTTCCAGTGCAACCTGAGGGCTCTTCACAGTCTATCATTTCATATAATGTAATTTCTAGTAAGAGCAGCGGGATTAGTATTGCTCAAATCAAGGGAGATAAGGCTGCTTAAGGGCCTAATGGATTGCTACTATATGTCTGGATCACAAATATAGAATGCATACATATTTGTATATGCAGTTCAGGCACCTGGCATTGCACTGGTGGATGCCTATTTGCTTATATGTTGAAATCAAGCCCCTACCATCTAATCAGCAGGATGCGGTTTGTGGCACAACTGTGTTTTTGTTTCGTAAAGCAACACTGCTACAAAATCAACATGAAAGTTGATATCCTGCTAATTTCCATTCTTTCTCTCCTTTTTTCTCATTAATGGATGTGCTATGGGAGAAACAGAAAACACCCCAAATATGATAGCTACCACATAACATACCGACACCACAGAAACAAGACACAAACTCACTACAATGAGACACAGAAACACGCTATAACGAGAACTACAGGCTACTGCTACTCCAACACAGTGTCACAGAAACAGGTGCACCTCTTCTGCAGCTCCACAATGACCAAAAGTTTCCAATGAAACCCAAGTTATTTCATTTCCAGATCTACATTCACCCTCATCATGTTGGGCAGATGGTGCCAAGTCCTCCTGCCAAGTCATTTTATCTCACCTGTTATCACTCCAGAACAAGCTAATCCACGCTGATGTCTTTACCTCAAGAGGACAGTCAGAGAAAAGTCATGCACAGTTTGGGGGCTTCACCACAGCTCACTCCACCAACATCTTTCTGCCCCTCTCAGCACGTTGAAGGCTTTTCAGGTTACTTTTCAGCTCACATAACCCCACATTTTTATGACAACTGGTTTACTATGAGTGCCATGCACCATGAGGTATGGCTGGGTTTTACTTGTTTGTTTTCTCTATTTTACCATAGCTATTTCAAACCTCAATTTGCCTGGAAACTGAATTGATTTATGTGCAACAATTCTTTTTAGCCTTTTTTTTTTTTCAAGAGGGATGGAGCAAAATAAGGCAGGGTAGAAAGATGCTCTCCAGCATTTGTGTGCAATTCCAAGGAAGCCAAAAGAACACTTTATGCTGCTCACCAGATGTGATGTTATAATGCTTTAGACCACACAGCCTAAAAACTACTTTTTTATACTTCACAGCTGACCATTGCTTGCATACAACAACACAGACTCAACAGGAACTTCCAATGTCTTTTGTGTTATTTTTTACATGCAATACACATCTAACTGAATCCTCAGAGGCTACTTCTGAAGATGTACTCTTCTCCTTTCCCACTTAAAAATATATGACATATATTCCATTCACTAGTGTAAAATAGACAGTTGTGTAGTTATTTGTCTGTGCTTATGAGTCTCTGATTTTATGAAAACACAGAACACTTTTCTCCAGGTCTTTAAAAATCCATCTCATTGTATGGATAGTATACAAAGTCTCATTGAGTTCAGTTAGGACTGGAATATCCAGATTTACATCATAAAGGGTCTTTTATGCCATTATGTGGTCAACCTTTAGGGAATCTTGCTTAGCAAGAAAGAATACAATTCATCAGAGTAAATTATTCTTGCTGCTCCTAATCTTGGTGGGAAGGAATACTGTCAGCACCAGTTTGTCTTTCTTCTTCCCACAACTTTGAATTCAAGGGATAGTGGACACTAAGAGATACAACTTTCTATGTGGTGCCCTTTTTCTTTCTCTCTTTCCCTCTCTTTCTTTCTGTCTGTCTGTCTAGAATAAAGAAAAGTCACAATGTATAAAACACTCACTGTTTCTTTTCTGGGAAAACAATATCTTAAATCAGGGCAAGAGAAAGGACGTGTGAATTTTCAGTGTATGGCTGGGAGCTGCTGTGAATGCCATCCAGCTGAAAATTTCTCAGTGAAAGTTGCACAGAAGGAGCACAGACTCCAAAACAAGCTAAAAATAGAATATTCAAAATATAGACCAAAATTCTCACATGTCCAAAATGTATCCATACTGAAGACTTGACTCAAAGCACGTGATAAAGTGACTTACCTAAATTGCACATCCCTGTATTTGGTTGGTTCACATTTAACCCAGAAATTAATTTACACTAATTGATCTGCTTCATATTTCTTATGGGCAAAATAAGTAAGAAAAATGGAAAAACAGATTAAGAATGGCCTAGAAGAAATTATTCCTCAATGTGACCTCTTCCTATCTACTAATAGAACTTGCAAAAAAATTGCTTCTGAAGATATGCTCTCACCTTTCCTGCCGTATCTGCTTTTATTTTAATTCTCTGGTGATAAATTGTACTTTTTAAATTAAATCAAACCAGTGATTCTTTTTCCATAAAACTGGAGGAACTGAAATTTTGTGGCGTTTTTGTACAGAGAAACAGATCTGTGAGTTTTTAAAAGGTGTGTACAAAACTAATTGCAATATTGAAACCTAAAATGCAAAGATGAGTACTTTTGCCTTTGGTGATACTTACTTACTTACTCAGGTAAGGGCAGAACTGACACCCTGTCACTGGAAAATAAGAATTTGCTAGGAAATACAGCTCAGTTTTGGAACATGTGGTATTAAATACCAAAAAAAAAAAAAAAAAAAAAAAAAAAAAAAAAAAGAGTTTTGAAAGAGTTTTTTCTTCTCCAGAATATCTTATTACCTCTGAATAAACATGAGAAGTCTGCAGCCTGCTTTAAGGAAGCTGCATTTTGTTTATGGCTATTCCACTGGTGGAAAGGGTAAAATTCACCAGATGATTTTTTTTTTTAATCATATTTTACACAGGTTTCCATTTGTTGCCATAGTAATCCTTTGATTTGTACCAGGCATTTGCTCCATAAAGCATTGCATTACCTTTTTTAGTTTTGCCATGCCTTTCAGTTATGGAGATTCTTGCCTGTTCACTTGCTTTTTCTTTGGATGGTGAGGAATCATTTCCCCCACCCACCACAACCCAGCTCTACTAAAATCATGAATAATGGATCGAACATCCACCCCAATGGGCTCCAGCCTCTTGCAACAGCAGCTGAACAGCTCGTTTCAGCAAGAAAACAAAGCCCCGCTCTTAAGGCAATTTCAAGATATAATTTCCCTTGGACTGTGACTCTAACCCACCTCTTTAATATGCAAATACATTCTAATAATACTGTTGCACTAACAACTGCAGTGCAAAGACCAAACAAAGGCAGATGTTTACAGTTAGGCTACAGGGTAGTTTCTAGCAGAAGTCAGTCTGCATTTATTGTATTTAATCAAACAATTAGGCTCCTACGATGCTCATTTTTAAAAACAGAGAAAATAGCTAACTGGAAGCTGCTCAGCACTGCTTGGGACATTTTCAATTTAAAATTCAGTTTCAAAAAAAAAGGGCTTTAGAAAAATGGGTTTGCTTGCTTATAAAGAAATCATTTGCCTAACTGAAATGAAATGTGTTCTTCTCATGCTGAAAGTCCACACACAGAAAGAAGATCATCAATCAATATGACCCACTGGACAATGTGAATATCTTCACCTCAAAAGTTAAAGCAGATAGTGGCTTACATGCAGCCATCTCTACTGTGGGAACAGAATGGTTTGAGTCTCCATCTGAAATTTCTGTGGTAATAAAAAAAGCCCTTTGGTATTTGAAAAATATTTTTTCCTGGTTTCATCTGGCACAAAAAAAAATGTTAGTTTTTTTGCTAATGCAGTGTACGCAATTAAAAAAGAAAAGAATTAAATTGATAACATACAAAATTATTTGGAAGGATCTTTTGCTTCACTCGGTCTTAACTATTACAGATTATATGATTTCCACTGGCTGTCCATCCACTGAAAAGCTTCAATGTAAAGCAGTGTGATATTCTTTGTTGTTTAAGTAAACCTGACTGAAACAAACACCTCAGCTTTAAACATTTTCCTTGTTTGGGACATTTAAACTGCATCCTTGCTCAGTTTTTGAGCACATCTGGACCTCGGTTAGAAATTCTCTACCTTTGATTATAATTCCTGGCTTCTTTCTTGTCAGGATATGGTGTAAAAACTATCCAATCTGTGTTTAAACAGTTCTGTCCACAGTTGCGTATCATCTCATCTTGGGAAAGGAAAAAAAGAGAGATTGTGCCCATATTACCCAACTCCCAACTCCCTAATCTTAAAAAGGTCTCTCATGTACACAGCAATACAATAATGTGGCTGATTTAAGGTAACAGAGAATTAATAAAGATGACAGAATTTAAACAGAAATATTGTAAACATTTGCTTTGGTCATTTTCTGACTTAACCTACCATGATTATTTACCAATCAAATTGGTGAACTGGAAGGTTTCTCCACCTCATCTTCCCATTTTACAGCTGAAGAACAAAGACTTTACCTTTCAGCGTTTCAGACTTATGGTGTCCTGGCTTTATCAGATATCCTTTCTGACATTTATTATCACTTGTAAATGTGAAAAGTTGGAAGAGAAGCTGCTGAACAAATTGATTATTCTAATAGAACCAGAACTCTACACTGTCAGGGTAGTTTAAAACACACATACAAAGAAAAAAAAGAAGGCAAAGAATTACCTGCGTTAAGATGATGGGCCACTCTTTCTTTAGCATTCAGTACAGCATTTGCTGTTTGGCTACCGGCCACCCTGAAGCTCCCTCTTTCTAGTGTTTATTATTGCTTAATGACAAACACAGCTGTCCCAGCCAGCATTCTCTTTTTCCAGACTTAATCAGAGGCTTCAGAGTTACTAAGGCCTCCATGTGTGTGTCTTTAGAATTAAAAACATACTAAAACTCCTCCCTTACTAGAAGCTATTCTAACCAGCAGTTTCAAGGTGGATTTGGCATGCCAGTGGCCTGCAGAAAAGTTTTTCAGTGTTCTCCTTTATGGAGACAGACTGGAAATTGTATTTTTCAAGATGAGTTGCTGTGTCTGGACAATTTATGTTCATGAGAAACCAGCTGAAGAGATGTTTACTGAGGCTGATATGGCCTCTGCATGGATGAAGAATTAAATAAAAACTGATCAATGTTTTTGATGAATGGAAAAATACTCAACAACCAAAACAATGGAGAATTCTGCTTTAAATAAGCTTTTTTTTTGGAAGCTGCAGGTTGCTGTGCTCCCTGTTGAGAATTAGCATGCATGCCAGCATCAAACCCTTTCCTACACAGACTGTCAGGTAAAATGCAAAGTGGTCGCTATCTGTAGACTTTCCAGATTGAAAATATCCAACAAGGTGAAACCTGGAGTCACAGAAGCATGATCTGACATCAGGTATCACAACCTCTTCCTGAGATTTTTTGCTACTATACTTAATTGCACGGGGTCCCTGAGCCAGTATTTTTCCACTTAGCAAAGCTGCTGGGAGCAGGGCAATGAGTCCACAGTCAGGACCAATTTGCTTCTCCGAAACTGCAAGGGGGGGAAGGAGGTCACTGAAAATTGCACAACATGGGTGCTGTGTTTTGCCCAATTTACTCCCCCAACCCCTGACTTCTGTTCCTCATATCCTGGCTAAGGCAGCAGGAGGCAGTGAGCAAGAGGGGCTGCTTTGCTGACCTCTAGACTGAAACAGCCCTTGTCTCCTGGCCTGTAGAGTTTAATGTCTCCATCAGCTCTGCGGTGTGGGTCGGTGGTGGCTCGCTGGTGGTGAATCTCTCGCTCCTCTCCACGATCTTGTTTGAGCTGCCACTCCATCTGATCCCTCAGTTTGGACTGTTAGGTGCATGGGCGGTTTATAACAAAAAAAAACAAAAGGACAGGAGGGAATAAAGAAAACAAAAATGGGTAAGGTAGACGACTGAAAAACTACAAGACAAAGAAAAGCGTGAACAGAAAAACCAACTTAAATACAGTGGCATAAGAAAGTGAAGAGAACAAAACCAAAATGAGGATGAGCAAAATGATGGGCTGAAACATCTGAAAAGCAAAAAAGAGAAAGAGAGGAAAAAAGAATGCAAACACTGGTTATGAGGCGCATGCAATGAGGATGCATGAGTCAAACCAACAGCAAGCATACAAGTCATGAAGGATATGGGATACAAGGCTCTTCCTTCCTTACTTGTGCTGTGCAGAAAAGCCATATCCAGTGTGGCAGCTGTGGCAGTTTAGGCATGCGCCCATTGGCAACGCTTTACGCAAGGCAGTCCTTCGCTGGCTACAGTGCTTCTCACTCGCTGCTCGGTTAGGGGAGTGAGCTGTAAGCAGGCTTTTCAAAACAGATCACTTAGAAAACGGTGTTTTGGTTGGGTTCTTTTGGCAAGGCTTTTGAGAACACGCCTGACCCTTTTACCAGAGAGCATAATAAAGACCTCCACGTATTTCTTAGCAAGGCTGCTAAATTACTTTCATTAAGATTTTTTTTTTTTCAATTAATCTCCTCTTTCATGGGGAAACACTGCTGTTACAAACAAAAAGAACACAGATCTCCATAGCACCAGTGGATTAGCCTTTTTGCCATGAGGAACCGCCTCTAAATCAAAGGATTTGTGCAAACAAACAAAAGAAAAACCTATAAAGTGTCTGTTTAACATTACACACTTTAAAACATTGCAGGTCTGAAATCATAACAAAGCAGCTGTGAGGAAAATTAGCTCTAGGGTAGCGATGCCAGCAAGAAAGAGAAACGATAAACAGAAAGAAGGAAAACAAGGGGTCAACCTACCTGGAAGTCTGTGATTAACTCCTTGCCCAGGTTACCAATGGGAGAGTCTCGTGACATGGACGTCATTGTGGATAGAAAACTGGAAGACTCGGTGAGGTGGGGAAGAGGAGACAGGTCCTCCATCTGCTCCTTAAGGCCCTCCCCAATGTGATCAACCTTCTCCAGGAAGGTCTGTAGCTCTTTCCGGAAAGCTTTCATCCTGGAGTTAATGGTGTCCAGAAGCTCTGGTTCATGTTTATCTTCCCCCCTTCCCTCATCACTTTTGAAGTCCTGCTCAGTGGACGGGCTGCTGGTTATATGCACCTTTGCGTCATAAATCAAGCTGTCCGTATCAGTGATAAGGCGGTCTACGGTCCTTTCAAGCCGCTCAGCCTCGCGTTTGATGTTGATTAAAGACTCAGTGTCCTCTTTCACTCGCATGAGCTCAGTGGAGCACAGGTCGCTGACTTCCGACGGCTTCCCACTCCCAAAACCTGACGTCTTCTCGTAAACGTCCTCGGAGTCACTCTCGCCGCCGATCGGCCCCTCTCTCTTCGGCTGGGGTGGCCGGCCTTCTTCGCTGTCGCTCTCCTTCTTCCCGGCATCGCTGTCGGCATCGCTGTCTCTGGGGCTGGAAGTGCGCAGGCCCAGGTGGGAGGCCAGGTCGTACCGCTGCACGTTGGACATCAGGACCCTGTTCTCGTACTGCAGCTTCATCACCTTCCCACTCAGCTCGTTGATCTGGAGCCTGGCTGATTTCAGCTCCTCTTGCAGCGGTCCGCCGCACTTGGAGGCTGCGTCCTCCAGCCAGCCTGGCTCCTGGCCAGGCTCGAACTTGAATTTGCTCAGCTCATTCGTTAGCTGCTTGTTGTGATCCTCAATTTCAGAGATGGACCGCCTCAGCAGTTCTGCTTCCTCTTCCACAAACTGCAGGTGCCGGCGCAGCTCTGTGGCCGACTCCACAGAGTCGCCGTAGGGCGAGGTAGGAATGCTTGAAATGTGGTCCCGGCTGAGACACTCTTTCTCGTACTGGCACCTCATATCCTCCATCTCAGCTTTAATCCCCCTGTTCTCCACCTCCAGTTCCACTATTTTCCTGCCCAGTATGTTGGCCTCCTCCTCCACCAGCTTCAGCCGAAGCTTCAGCTCAGCCTCCCTGGTGCTGGGAGGGCCTCCGGCCTCCCCTGTAGGCAGGGGACTGTCCACATCTCCGTAGATGGACTTGTATTTCTGGAGCTCCTGCTCCAGCTCATCCTTTTCCTTCCCCAGCTTGGCCATCTTCTTCCGCATCAGCGCTGCCTCCTCTTTGGCGAACTGAAGCTGGCACTTCAAATCAGCGCTGTCCTCCTGCCAAGAACAAGTCCCCCCCCACACACACAATGTTAGAAAAGCACAAGAATTTGCTTGCTTCCCCAAATCTTCACCTCCCCACTCCCCTGAGCCATGTCTGTTAGGTAGGCAAACAACACAGACAGAGCTGCACAAACCACACGGTTGGCGCATTTCATGGCTCGGTCCAGGTTAAGTTGGCAAAGCAGCTTGACCCAAGTTACAAAGAGAAAAAAAATCACTGTGCCAGTCCAAGTGTTCAGTGATGCAGCAGTGCCAGGGCAAGGGTGCTCAATGTTTATTTTGATTCAGATATTGAATAAATTTTGTAGAAAATGAGAATGACTATATTGAAAAGGAGCCATGATTTGTTGGCACTTTCTGTTCCATTTATCTTTCATGATACATTTGCTCATTATTAGCATCATGAAACAAAGACTGCTCAAACAAATTTCCTTGTCATAATCCTGCATCTTGGGCTTCTTCAGCTATGGAGCACAAAAGAGTGCACTAAGCTTCACAGCTGCCCTGCACAGTGAAGAAACGCATGCTCTGTACTTTAACTACTGGATCTCACAACACTGTGAAATAGCTGGAGTACCTAACTCCCTTTCAGAATAGAAAGCACTACTGTTGTCACCGGTGTTGTTATTATTAGGATAGAACAGAACGTGATCACTCTTTCTGGTATGGACAACTGTTCACAAGGGAGATTGGTGATAACATGAGAAAAAAGAATGAAAAAATCATTAAACCGTGGTTACATCCAAATCCATCCCATGTGAAAACCTGCATTTTTTTTTTTTTTCCTGGAAGCACCAGGGTATTAAATGGGAGTTTAATTATTATTCTTTTTTTCTGGACTTGGGCATTTTAAAGTCCTGCATCTCACTCAGATGAAAACTCCAGTGTGCATTGTGCTGAAATAAGAGATGAGGTTAAGTAAATTCTAAGCTGGTGAACAATTTCTTTGCATGAATCACTTTCATGAATTGTCATGGAGATACAGGCACTTGGCCTCATAAGAGACACATTTATCAGCATTAGCAGCATAATGGAAGGCAGGCTTTGAAAGATGATCTCTTGAGACAGCAGATTTCATCCTTGTTGTTAGGCCATGTGGACATATGTGCAATTGTCTATGGAAACTTCATTTCAGTCTCCATAGCACTGTTGTCTTTCACAAGCACCATTTTGTTACAATCCCTATTAATGGCAACCGAATCCAGAAGAAAACATGACTGATGTTAATTGTTCACCCAGATCAGCCTATTAAAAAAATAATAAATTACAAAACTAATTATGGCTCAGCAAGCTGAGGAAATGATTTAATTTCTAAAGTACACATCCTTGCACATTGGTAATGGTGCCTTTTATGTTACTTGGATTAATTTCTCCTCATCCTATTTAAATATATACTAATTATAAATTATGTCTTCATTTCAACTGTTAATACAAAAACAGAGAAGTAATTGATTGCATGTTTCTGAATTCAGACAGCTTTCCTACTGATTCTGCTTGGTGCAGGATGCGACTTTTAAATCTTGAATAGCAAAAAAAGTTATCCTACATTGTATTAACAAGACATGGCTAAAAGACAGCCAAAGTTTCCATTAGTAGTCTGTTTTCAGTGATAACCAGGAGTCTAAAGAAAACTGCAACCAGTTGACTGAAACTCTGGTCACTGTGTTTCTGGCACCTGTAACGTGAGTCTTCTATGAATGCAGACAAGCTACATATAACTGACTACAAGCAGAGCCTCCAGAAGACGGGCTTTTTTTTCTTTCTGTCTTCTCACATACACACCTCCTTTCCACGCTGTTACAAAATACATGTGCAAATTGCTTTTCTCTTTATAGATCTACATTGCAAATTAAGTATCACATTAAAACCTTGCAAAACTCAATGCAGCTTGTTCTGGAGTCACTCTGAATGTTGGTTGCTCTGATGTTAGATTAAAACATCATCTTTGGTCAGGGCTGAACAATACGTTACCTTTGTGTTTCCTGTCATCACAAATCAGCTCCTGCTGTAGGCCTCGCTTTTAGGGAAATACAGAGACTACAAGGAAAGTAACATCCAGACCAGCGCTGCAAATCAGCACTCACAGGTGGGGTGCTCACTTCAGTTTCTTTATTTATCTGTTAAAAGCTTGGAAATAATCTCATCTGACATTTTCCTTATTATGTCTTTCTGATCCAGTGTCCTTCTCCATGCTTGCTGTCTAACATTGGCTGCAAGAGCCCGACAATCAGTGCCACCACCTGCAGGCTGCTGCACCGATGCCCTTGATGATGACCAGCCTGCCTGCACACCTTGCCCATGGCTGTGAGCAGTAGGGGCAGCTTCTCCCAGGAGCTTCTCCTGGCTGTATTTCAATCAATACAAATAGCAGTCACTGCCTCATACTTTGTCTCACAGAGACAATGCACTGTGCATTTTGAAGCTTTTGAAGAAAAGGGAAGGGTTTCAGTGGGTTTGGGGTCAGGCTCCCAATGTTTTTTCTCTGCATCACTGCACAACTCAAACTTATATTATTATATTACATGGAGTTAGCATGTTATTACAGCAGGACAAAAACAGTTAACTATTCTTATAATAGCAGTTCCTTACTGCTAGGTTTTGTCTATGTTAAAAAGAAAAAACAAAAGTATCGCATTTGTAAGTTTTGTCTTTTGCAAGAGCTGAAACAAAGAAGATTTTTTTTTTCATTAAACAAACACAAGCCTCATACAAAACAACAGAGCTGATGAATGTTTATCTCGCCTACTAAATATGGATCCCATCTGGAAAGGTGAGAAAGCTCTAGATCTTCCTTGCTTCTCTGCCAGGAAACATGACTACTGAAAATCCCATTCCCCAGACAGGTTTTTTCCAAAGGAAAAGAATGGTCAGGAGAGATTTATCAGCAAGATCTAAGCATGCCAGAAGGGTAGGACCCCAACCTTCGTGCATCTGTCCCTCTGAAACTTTGTGTACAGAAATATCAATCATTTCTTGATCAGTTGAAACCAAGTGGAAACAGCAAGAGGGCAAGACCCACTTAAGCAAGTAGAATATTGAATATAAGGCAAACTAAGGTGAGGCCAAATCACAGAATTAGGAATAGTTTGTTACAATTTAAATCACAAATGAAATGAAAGCCAAAAATAAAATTAAAAAGTTAAAAAAAAAGAAAAAGGAGAACACAGTCTTTACTTCATTCTGTAGAAACAAGAGGCTCAAATCCCAAGGGCTGAAAGCTGGGCTATGGCACAGCCTGACTGTATTTCTGTATTTCACATCCAGCATGTGGACACTTTCCTAAAAGGTGTATGTAGGGCAGACCGTCTTGAAAGAAAAGAAGGAACAGTGCAAAAATGTTCAGTTGTTAATGGTGCTAGTCACTGACTTAGAGGATCATTAAGGATAAATGGGAAATTAATGGTTACTGGTAGTGCATATTTGGATGCTATAGCACCACAACTGTGTATAGCACTACAGAGGGATGTTAATGGGAAAAAAAAATACAGAAAGAAAAAGACCAGATTCCTCCCTAAAGAGTCTGCAGTCTAATTTAGGCAAATGTAGAGTGTTGAGATAAACAAATGAAACTTAAATGAAAGAAATGAACTTAAATTCATTATGCAATGTAAATGATGTGATGAGAATGAGGAGCTGATCAAAAACTCCCAAATGTGATATTTCTTTTCTGGCAAGAAGACACAAAGATAGGTAGAGACCACCACCATCTCCTCTACCACCACCGTCTCACGGGACTGCCAGGCAGAAGATGGGTAAACGTGCTGGGGTTGTGAGTCTGATGACAGGGCAGTACGACCAGCACCCAAGCACCAGGTGAGCACCAGCACTCACTCCTACCTTGCGCTGGAGAACCACTTTTCTCTGTGTTTTGCCTGGTGCCTGGTACTTCCCAAGAAGCTCCACTTTGCAATTCTGCTGAATAAAAACTTTTTTCTTCAGTACTGCTAGAGGCGGGAAAGCATGACGAACAACTCTGCTTTTACATGACTTCAAGACAATCAGTTTCACAGGAATTTACACTGTGCCCTGCAGTGGATGTGACATTCCCACTAATTTTCATTATGAGCTCCCAGTACATAAAAACACCGGTCTTGCTGTATGTTATACATGTCTGTAAGTATGCAGATGCACAGATTTAAAGAATCTACGTCTGTGGCTCATTTTCAGTCAAAAAACTTGTAATGGGGATTAAAAAGAAAGACAAAAAGGTTCTTCCTGTTGGCTTGAGTAAGTCAAGCCTTCATTTCAAAAGCTGTTTACTGTTTGGCCTAAGATGTCTCAGTTTAGGTGTTAGGGTGGCTGCTTCTGAAAAGCAGCACTTCAAACCTCCCTTGCTGTGTCTGTACTTACCCCTCTGAGCCCTGCCCCAGGACCCAGAGCTGTTGAATCAGGGTCAGGCACTTGGTATGGTGCGCTCTGGTCTCAACCAGAATGTGACTCTGAGCGGATACCTGGGTTTGGAGACTGCTCTGTCTAATGCCCCATAGCTGGGAGGTGGCTAGGACATGTCAGTATACCAGACTGTTTCTCCATCCTTCCTACCCTAAAGAATTGCTGAATAAAACTGAACAGCCACTTTTGAACATAAATCCTTTGCTTTCATGATGTATAAACACGTGTGAGCATGGTGTAAAGGTTTTTATTTTTCCTGGGTGGTTTCTGGGATCACTTCCTTATGTTGTGAGTGGTACAGAGGTGACCCAGGGTTACCCCGTTAATTTTATGAAGTCCTTTGTAAGGCTTTTCAAGGCAAAGTAGAGCTGCTCCTGTGCTCTGGAGTTCCAGTGTCTGGATTTGGGTGGAAAAATACAAGCACATGAATCCATTCTCTCTGCACTTCTCTGTATTTCCAGGAATGAGGAAGGGAAGGACAGTGCCTCCCACAAACCCCAATGGACCCGACCATGCATTCATGTATCTTGACGTGTAATTTCCATGTGTATATATTTCATATGTATATCTTACATACTTACAGGAAAACAAACTTTCTGACCTCAGTGGTGACTTAAAAAATTACTTATAACAGGCGATGCAGGAAGAAAGCCTCGTGCCCCATTTTAAGGTCTGATTCAGTACTTGTCCTCGCTCCCCAGGGATGCTCGCTCTGTTGTGCCCCAGGAATGGAGGCAGCAGCCCCCAGTCTGGCCACCCCCACCCCTTCAGCTGCCCATGGAGCCTGTTTCAAGTGCAGCATGTTCTAATTTATTACAGCTATTATTACGAATCAATGGGATTTTAAGACTCCATCGACTCTGAGAAAAGCCATACGTCTCAGTTGCATGCACCGAGCCTGCCAAAGGGGCAGCAGGGGAAGCTCAACCTTTCTTTAGTGAAGATAATGATGCCACTCTTGGCTCCTTTCACAGGGAGATGAAACACTATCCCCATCTCCCTGTCTATAAACAGTAACCGCGTGGGTACTGGGAAAGGCTTCAACTCCTACCGTCAGCACAGGGAGCAGAGGAAGCGGTGCAGAGCACTTTCCTGAGGGGGACCAGCCCAGGAGACTTCAATAAAACCAGTGTCCAAAGGCAGACAAAGGGTCTGGCTCAGGCTCTGCCCTTTATCTGAGCAGGGGGAAGCACATTGTCACAAGTGGCTCCCCTGGTGTGACACCGTGCTGGCTGCTTCACCGCTCGTTAGTGCAACAACTTGGGCACCACGTATAAATTTAGCCAGTCCCTAAGCTGTGATCCAATAACTTTGTGAGGCAAGGCGATTTTCTCTTCTCGTACGAAACCGTCTGCCTTGCTCTGCTGATAACGTGCACAACGAACCCGAGACACTGCGTGGTTTGGAGACTGTGCTTGCGTCCTAAATTGCTTCTACATTATCTCTGGGAGGTCTCAGTAGATTAAGGCCTAATTGCACTCTAGTTAATGTGCCCGATGGCCCCGTCAACACCCGCAGAACAAAATTTTGAGTTCTGTCATGCGATTTTGCTACAAATTGCACGTTCTTGAAAAACGTACCTGGGTGAGTGTTTTTTTTTCTTTGTGCATTTCTCTGCTGCCTCTTCTCTTCAGGGAACTCTGAAACAGAAGTGTTGCTGGGTTATTGATAAGCTAAGCACAAAGCCTGCAAGTTTGGCAGAGCTCACTGCCATAAAACTAATTGAGGAGAAAGTGGGGATATACTCCGGAGCAACGAGGGATTTGATTTTTGTTATTAATCGCTGAGAAAACAAGATGATCAGGGCCTTGTCAGTGGATTTTTCAATGCACACTATTTCCCATACACAAAACAGAAAGGAATAAAATCAGTTAAAAGTTCACAGAGGCAAAAAAAAACAAAAACAAAAAGCACAACTTTTCTTCTCCTCTAGACCACCACAATTTTTGGCAAAACTTTCTTTCAGTATGGGGCAATGATTTATGTTTGATTAATCCAGGGCAGAAGTCCAAGAATGTTACTTACAGTGGATGTGAAACACATTGTGGAAACCTTGGAGGAAAGCAGCACAAAAAAATGGAAGGTCACACACATTAAAGCTATGTGGCATAACATTGTTGGTTAGCCCTTGCTAGCAAACACACAAAGAGCCCAGATAAACACCAAAAAAATAAAATAAGTAATAATAATAAAAAAATTCTCTCCATGTATTTTAGAATTTACTACATACATTTGATTTGATTGGCATTGCAAATCTTCACAGCACTTTATAAGCAGTTTTTTTAAGACACAATTTTACATTTAAGATGTGGAAATGATGTCATCCCCCCTGCTCGGTTTTCCGAAACCTCCTACCCCCAAATGGAAACGCACAGCTTTCCTCAGGAGGGGCAGGTGGAGCACAAGTACCTTACTGGTATTTGCACTCATTCTCTCAAGCTTGTGTTTCAGGACCAAGCTCAAGCCAGTGTGACCTGGATTTATTTAGAAACAGCAAAAATTTGACTTGCGTAGGTTGAAGTACCTAAGTATCACAGGAGAACAGCAGATGTTAGGCAAAAAAGCAAGAAGCTGGAAATGAAGGAGTCATCTGAATTCAAAGCTGGCTGCACTGCTTTGTTGGCATCCAGAGCTTCAGCTTCCCTTGAACCTGCGCCATATACACAGGAGAAGCAAATATTGGGTACTTCAACTAGCAAGTGCCTCCCCTTTTGTCAGCTCCAGGTCCCTTTTGCAGTAGTTTAGGCCACTGCTTCTAATATGGCCCTCAGTGGCTTGCAACACTTTTGGGCACAGAAATTAGTCAGCATGCTTACCCCTCCAACAAGCAGCACAGCAGGCTTCAGCACAACCCAAGAGAAAACAGGAATTTTCTCCATCAAGAAAGGCAAAGGAAGTCTGAAGGATGATAATCCCTAACGATCAGCCTGACACTGTGGTCTCTTTCATCGATTACTTCTATTTATATTTGCTCTATGAGGAACAGTTGCCAGCTGAGGTGAACCCTAAGCTGTTGCAGGTTCATGGTGTGAGCTCAGGGACACGGACACACACCATGCAAATCTAAGCAAAAGCTTTCCGTGCCTCTGTGGTTCCTGACTGTTAAGCTATGCAGCTACTACGAATTATAATTGTGGCACGCTAAGACAAATCTCCTCTTATGGTCTTTGTTATACACAGTTAAGTAGTTAAAACCCATTCATACGCAGCACCATATGCCCAAAACATACTACAGTTTGTTTTTGCTAATCTGCTCTCTACTTTAATCTCATGAATTCCTATAACTAATGAAGCTGAGTAAGAGATTTTTTTTTTTTTTTCTGGATACTGAAATGGTTTAATGAAAAAAAAAAAAAAAGATTTTAAACACTGCAAACATCATATGAAAACCTGTTACACAAGCTTAGCCAGGATAAACAGTTACTGTTTCCCCTTTTTCTATTTTCAGTGTGGCATTATTCTGGAAACAGAGATGCAACTGCAAGCAGCCACCAGCCATGGTACCTGCCCTGGTACACAAGACAAGTCAATACAGCTGAAAAGCTGCAGGTACAGCTCTACCCTCATATCCATTGCTCTTCTGTGTGACTTCAAGCAAGAGTAGCACAAATAAGAGGATGTCTTCCAGTTGTTGCATTCACTTAGCAAGCCCTTGGTGTCACAGATGAGCCTACCAGTTTCTGCAGAGGCCTCCACACACTGCTGCAGCATAGGAGTACCAATTATGTTGGAGATGCAAAACCTTCTGACAAATCCTAAAAACTTCTTGCTTTTACTAAGACTAAAAGCTACAGTTGGAAACATCCAGCCTGAGAAGCCAGGAGGATGGTGGGTTGTGGTGTGCGATGGACAGTAATGCAGCCTTTGCTCAGTTACAAGGAAAAATACTTGGAAAGTAAGAGAAATAGAAATAAAATATAAGTAGGAAAGATGCGTCACAGGCGGGTAGTGATCTGGCTTTGGGAGCCATAAACTCTGCTTCTTGCTGAAAAAATGGATTTCACAGATCCAGAGTACCAAGTGTTTAACATTATGCTACAGTCAGGGCCTTACTTTGCGTGTTTTCACACCGACCTGCTTGGATTTGCATAACAGCCTTCTGATCAGTGCTGGGCTGCGAGATGGCTCTGTATTTCCATAATGCAAGGACTCAACTTTAGGCTAAGTGTGAGAGAAAGAATGCAATATCTACCTCTGGGAGCTATCAGAGGATGACAGGGAGAAACATCCACTGGCCAGCGCAGGACTGGAAGCAGGGGGATGAGCACAAGGGGCTACCCAACCAAAAATCTCTAGCCCCTATACAAGAGCAATGAAAGATCTCCAATGTACCTCTGTGGGACTAGGCTGCACATGCATGGGAAACGCTAACCAATATAGATCATATTTCTGTAGGACTAAGGGCAGAGGGTGCCACTGCAAAAAGAAATAGGTGGAACACACCACAGGCCTATGTTATTTAAAAATAAAAGTGGTACAATAGAGGAGCATTTCTCTTTGATGTGCAGGAAATTGGTATCAGAAGCTGGTATGAATTAATGCTGCAAGGAACATTTCTGTGCTACCTTTTATAATCAAGAGACCAACCAGAGTTGGCCATCTATAAAAAGTCTCTCCATGATGGTTAAACAAGATTTTGTTAGTCTTTTAGTTAATATTAGTGTCTCGGGAAAGAGGTTACTCAATGAATACTAACAAATTGCCTGTTGTTTTAAAAGTTAAACTTCCCCAAAAGATCATTGGATGTAGTGAGTACAGTATTAGCAGCAGGAAGAGACACAATTATTTCCACTTTCCCAGAAGCCTGGCAAGGACAGGAAGGGACTATTTTCATCTTTCAGTGAACTCTAGTTTTAGCAGATCTGAGAGGAGTGCAGCAAACTCAGCAACGAGAACAAGGGAAGAGTGAGACAACACGTGGGGAACAGCAAGGGGTAGGCAGTGCACTGGAATTAGAGGCTGAGTGAGACATTGAAATAAAGTTTGAGTTGAGAGGAATCACAAATGTAAACACAAGATATGCCCCAAGTTTTAACACTGAGGTAAGCGCTGGGAAGGCTGGGAATAGAGATGTGGACAGGAGGCAGGAGAGAGATACTTAGAAAAAAAATAAAAAAAAAAGGAATTCAGAGCCTATTGGAGCAACCACCCTGTCATTTTATTCACTGCTACCAAGAGGAGCGAGTCATTTTGGGTGTAATTTGGCATCTGCAGGCAGGTGTGGGCTTGCTATCATATGTGCATCAAACTGAGCCTGCAAAATCAAGGAGTCAGTCATTGATTGAAGTGAGGATGTCTGCAATGTAAAAACACAGAGGCTGGCTTGGAAAGTCTGGCCCGAAGGCCACTTCTGTCACTGTGATGTGTGAAGAATTATGCACGAGCATTACTGTGGCTCATGAATTGTATAAATAATGTTCTCTCCCTGCGCAATGATGGCCTGCTACCGATCGCTTTGAAATGGATTATCACAAATTTCATTTGCATTCATTAGAAAATACTGCCTGCGAGAGATCTGACAGCACTTCTAAAAAAATATGTATGAGTGACCAAACCCACTGGGGCTAAATATACCAGTAGCTTACCTGGGCTGCTTTCAGATTACTGGTTTATCTGTAAGGTAAAAGCTTAAGAGTTGCACAATGGCACTCCCCAGTGAGAGCTAACTTCTTGCTAGGTGTTGAGCCCCCGCAGGTCCAGCATTCAGCAAAACATCCAGCAAGATGTAATCTCTGCCCTACAGCGTGTGGATGACTGTAAAGCCTGGCAATCTACCGACCCCTTCACAACAGTTACATCCTGCTAAGCAGCAGTGATTTAGATGAAGGCAACTCTGCTTGGCATGAATGTGAATCAGAAGGAAGGGCCCACTCGCAACATGCCATCAGAGGGGGGACTTATCCCCGTGTAATGTAAAGCAGCGCTCGTTAACTGCAGCACTAATTGCTGCTCAGGAGTGACTCACTGCTGATGTTTTCTGGGCACCGTGCTGGACCACAGGGGGAGGTTATGGCAGAGGGTGACAAAGCCAAGGGATATTACTCTCAAACCACTAATGAGTGAACTCTTTAAAAATGCTCCACTGTGCATCTTCTTTCCAGTCCTGTTACTCATCTATATGAAAAGGAAGCATTTCCCAATTCTGCAGCAACACACTTCTTTGTAATGGTAGGGTAGGGTGGCTTCCACTTCATCTTAAAGCCTGAACTACCTCAAAATACCAGGTGTACAACTGAAATTTTGTATAGCTGCCATCCCACACCTCCATACTACACAGGGCACTCGGTGACAGCGCGGCAGCAGGTTTTCCATGTGGGCTGTCATACGTACCTATGGGATGGAACTGGAAAATACATTGAAACCCTAATCACTTTTCAATTGCTGTAGGTCCTTGAAAAGAATATCTCACCAAGCCCCGATAACACTGGGTTTGACGCAAGCGATCTGTATCTGCATTCATCCCCATGTGTGTTTCATTTACTGGAAACCTCCAAATGCGGTGATACTCATCATTCACATGACCTAGCGAAGCAAGCCATGTCTGAAATATCATAAGCATTACGGTTCAGAATAAAAGCCATCCCTTGAGTAAAAAAGCAGCAAAGCAGAGCAGCTTTCAGCACCAGCTTAAATTTCCCTA